GTCCGTACTGGTGTAACGCCAATTAGCTGCCCAACAATTTTCAGTCAGGTCATCTGGACAGTTTCTTTTTTTGTGCTGAAAGGTTTCACTTTCCATCCAGAAGGCAAGAAAACACACAAAACGGATTCTTTCCCCAACAGCTTACTCCAAAATGGAACAAACCAGTTATGTTGGTGCTAAGATGGTCTCTTTGGCACACCCCCTCCACCGGCCCTCTCCGTTGTCGACAGTCATGTCAAAATGGTTCAAAACCAGCAAAGTCCATGCTCAATAATCCAGGTATACATTCCAACAATTTTCAGTCAGGTCATCTGGACAGCTAATTAGCTGCGTGCAATACTAGCTAGCTAAAAAGCTAAAAACAACGCGCAGCTCAGCTATATCTCTCCACCCAGATCTAAAATGTGGGTACAGACAGACAGTGCACAGCTCAACTGCCCCCCCCCCCCCCCCCACACACACACACACTTTGCTCTGGGCTGCAGATACAGGCTGGCTGAAATATCACGATATTATATTTGAGCCATATCACCCACCCCTAATATATATCAAAACAGAAAATGTAAATGTTTAAATGGCCACCATGTGGCAGTCCCCATCAAAGTTTCTCCAGGAACTTTCTAGTTACGCGGGTTAAAGTCTTCTTACAACTTGAACACTTCACTAGATAACATTATATTGTGTTTTGAACATTATATTGTATTTTGACTAAGGACATTTACACCGCGGTGTTTCCCTGACCATTATACAAGGAGGGCACCCCGCTCTGTCAACAGAACTGAGCACACTGCCTACCGAAATGTCCTTCACTCCCCACCCCCCCATGTCGGCAACTGTCGGCACTGACATAGCGCTAAACTAGCAGCTCGTAATACAGATGCACTAACAAAAATGCTACTCACAGATGTGTTTCTGTCCCAGGCGACAAAGAAATGAATAAAAAAATAAAAATATATGAGTGCCCTTCCAAGGGAACAGATCTAGGTGAAACACAGCACAGTATACTCTTATATCTAATCCCCGTAACTGCAATTCACTCTCAAGCTGTGATGCTGGCATGCCCTTACACATACTGACCATTTCAGCTCTATGACTACCCACCATGACAGCTCAGACGTGAAACAGGAACAGGTTGAGTTTAAACCACCATGTTGCCTCTATCCTTACGTGAACCTCTCAGAGACGGCAAGAAGGTGCCTCAGTTTGTCTTTTGTAAAATAAGTTTTTGCTATCCAATACTTGTTAAATAAATGTTAACATTTATTAAACATGTTATAAATGTTTAATAAATGTAATTTTATTAAAACCCTAAACAGAGAGATGACCCAGTTGACAGAAAAATGGGATTTTATTGACACAAATACACCCTGGACAGCGAGGGAAAGGTTACGTCATGTTTGTGCACCCATCAGGCTTGAATCTGATGACAGCTGGAGGTTTGTGTACCTCTGCCAGTCAGCTGCAGTTAAATGTGACTGAAACCACTTGTTTGTTGAATGTAGAAAATTTAAATTAAGTTAGATGTGCCACTATTATGGCTCTTTTTTTTTTTTTCCATTTACAACATATCAGTCATAGTGGATGGACACAGGCAGGGTATGGATTTACACACATTTCTGTTTTTTATCTGATCTCTGTAGCAAACAGTTGTTATTCTCAATTTGAAAAGATGTCAGACACTTCAATGCATGCGTACACTCTGATAAATGACCATTCTCGATGCACACACAAAAGAATGTTTTGTTTCATGTCTGTCTGTCAAAGCAGATTCACAATGCTGCATTGATAAGTCTCTGCTTGTGTTTACAGAATACACACCTAGTCAGAAAATGCAGTGCAATGGGCACATCGCTGCAGTTGTTTGCGAAAACAGTATTGTGTCTACGTAGCTCCAATAGTACAAACATTTATATACAAAGTATGTAGACGATATGATATACAGTGATTTCTGTTATCTATGTCACCACTTGCTCTGTTTTTGAATCAGATATGCTGGAGCAGTGAAAGATCTAAGCTAGTGGTGTCCAATCCTGGTCCTCAAGGGCCACTATCCTGAATAATTTAGAGGGTTTCTCTGCTTTGAAACACCTGGTTTGAATGAATGAGTAATCAACAGGTTTCTGTAGAGCATGAAGACCTGCTGAAGAGCAGAGAAACAACTCAAACATGTAGCTAGTGGCTATAGAGGACCTGAATTGTACACCGCTGATCTAAACCGTGCACAACAGTGATGCTTTAGGACCAAAGTTGGGACCTTATGGTCTAAAAGGCAACAGGTCCCCTCTGATGGAAAAGAACTGAACTGGGTACTGTAAAGACAATGTGGAAATGTTGCAAATTAAACAGATAGCTAATTAATTGTAAGTGCTATCTGTTGTCATCATTGTATGGGAACATACAATTACAAAATTGGTTCACTGCATTTAACCCATTACACCTGAGATAAATCCAGGTGGTGCAGTGGGGAGCTATGCAAGTCTGGGAAGCAATTAGAGATTGGGTGTCTTGCTCAAGGATATGTGGGTATGGCGGGGAGTCGAACCTGGACTTTCTGGTACCAAGTCGGCTGCCCTACCTCTATACCATCTCTGCCCATAATAGCAGATAAGGCTAGACCACCAACAAATAGTCTCATTGACCTGAGAAGTGAGTTTTCTGAGGGAAGATTAGATATTTTATAGACACATAAAATACACCCGGTAAAGTAAAAATAAATTACTCCATCCATCCTTCCATTTTCTTTACCCGTTTCTTCCTTTTCAGGTCACGGGGTCACAGGTATCCATATCCAGCAGTCAGTCACTGTGTGAGAGGCGGGGTAAGCCCTATTCGCACGGGATTAGTTTTACCTAGGGACCACATGCTATTTGTAATAATTACGAAGATTGTGTTGTTAATCCCGTGCAAATTGGCCATGTCAGTAATTTGTAAAGTAAAAATTCCCCCGAAAATTACCTACTGTATTTTGCTGAACTGCGAGGTCCTGTGATAATACTAATCCAGTGCAAATAGGCATCTCTGTGATTTGGACAGAAATGGGCGGGATCCGAAATGTAATTAGGCGTTTTTTGTTTTGTTTAAGCAAAATCATTTGGAAAAATATAGAACAAGTCTATTTTAAATGAACGTGCTGCTCGCTTCGGCTTTTGTAGATGCTGCTACTTCCTTCACGGCAAATGACAGCAGGTGCGGAGAGGCGCGCGTGATCAGCTGACCCATCCATCCATAATAGTTACTTGCTTATTCCTTTTCGGGTAGTGGGAGTCACTGTTGCCCATGTGCAGCCATCACTGTACCAGAGGCGGGGGACACTCTGGACAGATCGCAAGTCCATTTCAACCAGCAGGTCAGCGGACACACGGACGCTCACACGTGCGGCCGCTGACAGTTGTCCATCTGAGCTTAACGTGGCTTTTTTTTAACCTCTTAAACCGACCGGTCGGACCTGCCTCCTCCTAAACAAGTAGATTAACACAATTTTATTTTGTGCATTCTTTTGTTTTCTTTGTGCTGATTCATAAAACCACATCAAAGTCTGAGACCGGCCTGCACATTAAGCACATTATTATGGATCGGCCTGGTAGTGACAACGCAGCGCGTTAACATCATATCTGGAAGAGGTCCGTAAATTTCAGCAAAATCTCAGGCTTTGGTTTATCCAGTGTGAATGTGCCACATAAAAAGCAGACGTTGGGGAGTAATTTATTGATTACATGTGATCCCTAGGTCAAACTAATCCCGTGCGAATAGGGCTATAGACAAATGAGACAAACAACCATTCACTCTCTCACTCATCTAAAGACACTTTAGAGTTACCAATCAACCCAACATGCATGTTTTGGTCTGTGGGTGGAAACCAGAGTACCTGTAGAAGGCCCATGCATGCACTGAGAGAACATACAAACTCCACCTAGAAAGGCTCCCAGCCAGGATTGATCCGGCAACCTTCTCGCTGGGAGGCAACAGCTCTATCAACTGAGCCACCTATCATTTCCTGTGCTTAGTAGAACCCAAAGTGCAGGCAGACACTTGGAAACTTGAAGGGTAAAATAAAGAATAGTATTTATTAATGGAAAACAGAAGCTGACATGGCAACAAAACTTACATGATGGATGGAGGCACGAGGGAAGACAGGAACATGATGCCATATCAGACAATGCACAGACAAGGAGGAACATTGGGACGATGACTTAAATACAGACAGTAACAACAGAAAATGACAAACACCTGGGGAAAAGACAGGAACAGCAGTAGCTGGAGCTGACCACAAGGGGGAGACACACTAGGAAACAAATCCTGACACCACCATGTTGCCAAATAAATTACTCCTGAAGGAACATGTCCTTTTTCAGTACCGTGTAATGTCTGAATGCCTGCTGAGCCCACAAAAAAGGAGGGTACACAATCCAAGGAAGAGTAATTGGAGTAGAATTTGACAAAAATGTTTTCTCTAACAACTAATGCAGAATCATCACTCACAGACACTAACATGACATTGTGAATGATGGCGTTTGAATTCTGAACTAAAATATCTGCAGAGGATTTTTGATTAATGTACAAAGGTTTAATTTCCTGTCCGCCATCATTTGCTGATCATTGGACAAAATGGAATAGTGTTCCATCAAAATCAGTTTAGGGATTTAATCAATGGAAAAAATCTGTATAATTATGTTACGTCAGTGCTTTCCTCATAATAAACTACATTTATGAACTATTAGGCCCATTTTTTATTTTAATCAATCCTTCAGATCTGCTGTAATGCACGTTTTATTTATTTTGATGTGCATTTGGTATATGAGTAAGCGTTTTTTTTTTTTTTTACAGTTGTGTTGATTTAATGTCACTTTGATGGTCTTTGATTTAGTTTTTTTTTTTTTTAGGTCAACCCCTATAGATGTGCAACTTGTGTTTAGCTTTCTAATTCTTCAGCCACTACATGTATTGCTCCATTTTAGATGAGCTGTGTTTTTGTAACATTATTGAAATTACTCTGTTGTCAGATCTTCCGGAGGTGTTGGCTGGTGTTCAAGAAGGCCTCCAGTAAAGGACCCAGACGGTTAGAAAAGTACCCTGATGAGAAGGCAGCTTTCTTCAGGAGCTTCCACAAGGTAAACAGCTGCCACAAACATTATTTACATCTTTTTTAAAATTTATTTGACTCTTAAATATTTTTCACTTAAAAAGACTAATAGACAGCTAATAGAAATTACAAGCCGATTCAGAAATGGATCGACTTTTTCTCAATTTAAGAGAATTGATGCAGGTTTAATATTTAATAGATTAAACCCCCCAATAATTTATTATGAGATAGGTTAGACGTCAATTTATTCATTTTATTGTAAGTACATTAACTTTAAATTGCAGCTTTACAACCATAACAAATTACCATCCGCTTATTTTTGACCCCATCGTACCCACTTAGGCACATTTTATACTTACCTTGGCAGTTATTAATGATCTAAATTTTATGGAAACTAAATTGAGAGGGATTTGGGATGCCTGCAACAACTTTGTGACTAAGCGGAAAAAAGTGTTTCTCAAATGTTTTGAGCATGTTTTTAATTATAGCAACATGTGTGAGAGCCTCTGCGACTGTTGATCACGACCTAGTCACAACACAACAAGGTACTAGCTTTAATTAAAATTTCCGCAACAAAGATGTGTCTTAGCAGAAATTAAATGTTTAGCTATATTACCATATTTTTCAGCCTATAAGTTGTTTTTTTTTGCATAATTTACATGCCCTGTGACTTATAGGCTGAGGCGACATATTTATGGATTTTTTTTCCAATATTTATAAATCAAATTTTGGCTGAGATAAGACCGTTTTCATTCATTCTGACTGAAAAAAATTGAATAGTACCATTTTCAACCACTTAATGACAGCAGAGTAGTAGTAGCTGTATGGCATGCCGTTGTATCATGTAATATGGAAACGTGGCTATCATGAAAAATTCAAAAAAGTTCAAGATAAAAATAACTGGACTTTATTTATTATACTTTATTGTTTTTGTCTTGAACTTTTTTAAATTTACCATGTCCTAGATGACTGAGAATCTTCACCAGTTATTAATGACACAGTCGGCTTGCCCTAGTCCCCCCACCTTCGTTCTGCTCGCTGCTTGGAGCAAGTCAAACCAGCAGCGCCACCCCGGCAAAATGCAGCTAATTTGACCATTAAAGTGCATTTATTAAGTAAAAGTTCAACTGAGACACACCTTTGCTATAATTTTGAGCAAACACAATTTTTTTTAGGTGATTATCTTGTTAAATTTTGAAGAAATGCGGAGGCTCGTACCTCTGCGTGTGCCCGCCGCTTCCGCGAATCGGGTTTTGAAATTCAGCTGATTTGACAATCAAAGTGCATTTATTAAGAAAAAAGGTAGACAGAGACACACGTTTACTATAATTTCGAGCAAACAAATAATTGTTTTTAAGTGTTAATCTTGTTAAATTATTGTTAAAGTCCTCCTGTGCATGCTCCTGCGGCCGCCATTTGGCAGCCAATCGACCTTTGGCACAAAACTGGCCCACGTTTCCAGGTTGTCAGTGGTGATGCGTAACATATGCGACACGTCAGCGGTGACGCATAATAGATGCGACATATACGGCGAAGCAACATATTTATGGATTTTTCCACTTTTTAGACATATTTGGACTGATGCGACTTATAGGGGGGTGCGACGGGTACGGCGGAAAATACGGTATATCTTGACTGGGGTGAAAAAAGATAACAAAAAACAAATCAAAGTGTTTGGAAGTGTCAGACCAGCCAGTTAGTCAAGCTGAAATTCATCCAAGTCCAATAATTTAAAGATAGTTGATTTAAATAATTTTCATAAACTGTTTTGTTATCACCGATGAGGTTTGTGTCACTTAATTTGTCCAAAAATAAGAAAAAATACTAGAACCTGGTCAAAATTGCATGAAACAAGTATTGATTTTTTACGATGTATGGTTCTCACTGGTTTACACTGAATTTTTGTCTTATGCCATCACAAGCCTCATATTTTAAGTGTACTTAAATGATGTAAGTCTGTTGTAAAATATATATGTATTTTTATGTATGTTGCAGTTATTTATGGTATGGTCTTGTTGGTATTTGCTTTCCACTTTTCTCAAAAATAAAAATGGTGGGTCGTTTCCCGGGCAGCTTTCGATATTATTATGCAGAGCACAATTATAAGCCAAAAGCCAAGAGTTTCATTTTTGTAATTTGGCCAACCAGCAGAATTAATTAGCCTCAGTAGAAAACATCAGCTTTCTTATTTTAAAATGTTTTGTGGCATTTTTTCATGCTTTAACATCAAATTTACTTTGCCTTTACACTATTTCTACAGAACACTCAGCAGTTTTTAAAACAAGAGAAGCACCTTTATATATTAAAAGTTTTTTCCGCCGGCCTCGAATGATGGCGTTAAGAATCTATTAAGGCTCATTTTACAACTTTATCTTGTCCCTCGGGCCCCTTTTCCTCTCTTTTGAAAGTAATAATCCTTTGTATATTATCTATCCCCCCCACATCCCGAGCCCTTTGAAATGCTCCAATTATGATTCATTATCCCAGTAATTGGAGACGATGTTAAAGGAAAAGCATGTACAGTGTTTTATCGTAATGAGAGGAGCTAGCAGATAATAGAGGACTGTGGAAAAAGCTTTCTGATGTGGCTGTAGTTTGAGAGACAGTTTGGTTATCTTTTGACTACCTTGTCATTATAAAGCAGAAAAAGGTCTCATTTCCAGCTGAACTTTTACTTTTTTGTTTTCTGATTCATACTTTTTTGTCATCTCCATCTAGATAGAGGTTATATCCTCGTGGTAAGCATCGGCTCCTTTAGTAGTATCACTCATGCATTGTGAATTGGGTGTCTCTCTGCCTACTACATCATGCTGTCATTTAGGGGCAACCTGTGTGGCTGTAAGCCCCCTTCCAGAGGAGTCTCATACACCCAGTGCTGAAGTGAGCGATGGGTGTGCGCATGCACCAGTGCACCTGGTAATGCATTGCCACCAAGATCAAGAAAGGTCCTGTCTGAGGGCTTCATTCAACGCTGCAGTGCTTTGGGGAAGAAATAGGCAGCAATGGTGGCTGATTTACACAATCAACACATTTTTTCCTCACTTTTGTCTTTCTTCTATCTGTGACCAACTTCTTTTCTGCTCTCCTTTGAAGCTTTCTTTGTCGCAGGACTACTGGTCCACACCGTATGACCCGGCATATTTTCTAGCTTTCCAAAGAGTCGTTTTAGTTGGACGGCTGTGGCTGAGTGGTTAGAGCAGTCGTCCTCCAATGTGAGAGTTGAGGGTTTGAATCCACCAGCAGTCACATGTCGAAGTGTCCCTGAGCAACACACTGAACCCCTCATAACCACTGATGTGTGTCCCATCAGTGTATGGATGTGATCTAAAGCACTGATTAGTCTCTTTAGAATGATTTGTTCAATTAGCTTTGTAGAGATCTAGTAGAGTGCTGTGTGAATGGGTAAATTAGGCACAGATTGTAGTGTAAAGCTCTTTGAGTATCTTGAAATAAGATAGAAAGGTGCTGTATAAGTACAGTCCATTTACCATTTACTGCATATGCTGTGCTGCCTTGTGGAAAGGTGGAGTTTTGTTTTGAATACCTGTAGGGTTGCTCCATGTGAGGCACAGCTTTGCTCATTCACCATCTAGATCGAACGTAAAACAGCTGTTGAGCGATGTTTCATACACATTTTGCTTTGATATTATTGACGCCTCAAGTGGGAAAGCCTTTTTTTTTTTAAACAGGTGGCTGTTTTTGTCTTGAACTATTTTTTGCCATAAATAAACGTATGATGACTTCCAAATCCTAATACTGAATGAAAATGGTATTGTGTGGCATCTTGTTGGGATTAATTGCCATAAACACATGAAGTACAGTTAAAAGGTGGAGACATATTTGAAACAAGCACGAGACTTTCTTTACAAAGTTAATTTTACAGGACTTGTCCTTGTGGAGTCCACAGATTTTGACCGAGTTACAATCTTGTTCTGCATTCCTTTCATGTTATTACCTTTTCAGATTCCATTTAGCTAGGTTTTACCATACCATTTTATTACCATACCATTTTATTTATAGAGCACTTAAAACAGCTACTAGGCCAACCAAAGTGCTGTACAGACAGAACAACAGACAACACACGAAGCAATATACAAAATTAAGTAAATCAAAAATATAGACATAAAATCGATGCAGATAATAAATATGACGACAAACCAGTGTGGAGCGTACAGGTTCAAAACACAGATCCTCTGGTGTTGAAAGCTACTGAATAGTAGTGAGTTTTTAAATGGGATTTGAAAAATCGAGAGGGAGGGGGCCAGTCTGACAAGCAGAGGCAACTCGTTCCAAAGTCTTGGTCCTGCTACAGAGAAGTCCCTATCACCTCTGCGCTTAAGATGAGTTCCTGGAACTGTGAGGAGCAATTGGTCAGCTGACCTCAGGAAACGTGGTGAGACATACAGTTGTAGCAAATCAGAGAGATGGGGGGGGGGGCAAAACTGTTCAGCGATTTGTAGACATACATGAGTATTTTGAACTGGATTCGAAGGTGAATCGGTAGCCAGTGCAGTGAGGCCAAAACTGGTGTAATGTGCTCTCTTTTGCCTGTACTGGTTAAAAATCGGGCTGCTGCAATCTGGACCAGGTTTTGGAAAGAAGTTCTTGTTTTTTGGGTTCATCACTGCTTGGAAACTAATATACTTGTTTGCTGTAGGAAAAACAACTGGACTTGGTCACTTGCTTCCCTTGGAAAACAAATAAAAGTAGTTGAATATGACATTAATACTACAGCCACCTTGCATATAGTATATGTACCATTCCTAATCTTTAAAAAAATTTAAAAAAGTTTAAACCATCATGTAAAACATCTCCATGTTTTAGATGACCAAAAGTTGAGGTTTGTAGAAGACCATATTACCAGAATATGGTAAATGGACTGTACATATATAGCACCATTCTGTCAACTCAAGATACTCAAAGCGCTTTACAACACAATCTGTGCCCTCATTTACCCCCACACACACATTCATACAGCGCTCTACTAGATCTCCACCATGCTAAAGCTATGTGTGTCCCATACACCGATGGGACACACATCAGAGGCAATGAGGGGGCCAGTGTCTTTCCCAGGGACACTTCAACATTGACTGCTAGTGGAATCGAACCCCAACTGGGTTGCGGGGGTCACTGGTGCCCATATCCAGGCTGCAAGTCTCTCACAGAAGAATTAATTCTTGTAAAGAAAATAAAAAAAAGATATTTTGCCAATAAAAATAAATAAATAACACAATGACCTGTGAAGGCTTATGCAATTTTTTTTTCAATTGTGGAGTAATTGAGTATTCTAACTTGAAGAAATAAAGCATAAAGTTAAAGTGAGTATAATTTACTCTGTGTACTAGTACTAATATCCACATATTTGCAAATGAATTGACAGGAAAACTGCTAAAACTAGTCTTTTTTTTGTGGGTATAACATCCTATAAAATTCAGTTTTATGTTAGTTTTAGTCACAGCTTGAAAGAGCTGCTGCAGAGGGTTGCAGATCCCTGTTCTATGCTATCAAAAGTCTCATATGTCTTCTAAGCCTGCATCTCATTGGGCTTTAACTCTTGGTGATAAACTGCAAACTGTCTTTGAAGGTTCGTTTCCTTGCACGAGGTGCAGGTACTTGTTCTAATGTTGCAGGAATTTCAGACATGATTGAAAAATGTGTGCGACATATTTACTGTCCTATTAGTCACAGCCGTTGCTCAGGTTTGGAATAAGTTTTGAACCCTTCATACTTAGTCAAAGAGGAATGTGAGGCAATTTTGAAAGGGTGGGGCAATCTAAGAAACTAAATAGTGACTGATTGGGCTTTTCTGGGCGGAGTTTGCATGTTCTCTCCGTGCATGCATGTTATTTTTCCCAGGTACTCCGGTTTTTTCCCACAGACCAAAAACAAGCATTTTAGGCTGATTGGTAACTCTAAATTGTCGCTAGATGTGAGTGAGAGAGTGAATGGTTGTTTGTCTCGTTTGTCTCCATGTGTCCCTGTGATGGACTGGAGACCTGTCCAGGGTGTACCCCGCCTCTCTCACAGTGACTGCTGGACATGAGCGTCAGTGACCTCCACGACCCAAAAGGGAAGAAGCGGGTAAAGATAAAGTATAGAAGGATGGATGGATAGAAACTTGAGAAATCTTTTTGAAAGTTGCCAGTGCAGCTATACTACCCCAAATTACATCATAACTTTATAAAAATCTAAGCCAAGTAAAAAATGCCAACATTTTGGTGCATGAACTGTACGTCTGAGGCACAAAGCTCCAAAAAAAAGGCTGAAATGTCTCGTGTTTCACCAAAATCCTATTGATTTTTAGAATTGTGTGTACATTGTGTGATGTACCACTACTAAAAGTCATGTCACGCTGTTCCCCACTGAGCTGCACATTTTGAGGTATAATTTGCATGTTTATTTCAAAGCTGTGCAGTGAGATAAAGGACATCATTGTCCACAGGGTAGTAATAAGGTTGCTTTAATGTTTTTGCAATGGCACCCTTAAATATGCAGCTGTAGACTAGTTCTCTGTACAAAGGACAAGGCAGTTGTAAAAGGGGATCCATTTTAAATAAACAAATAAAAACAGTTGTTCCAGGCTAAGCAGGAAGTTATGAGGTTGGTGTACATAGACACACACTACAGCTGTTGAACTTTGCTGAGCTTCAGTACTGAGCAGAGGCTTTCTAACAGTAGAAGAAAATTCATTGCATGTCATGTCGCACTAAGAAATCTGGAGTCCAAATTCGGTGTGTATGTGTTATAAGGTCTGGTCTTTTAACCTTTAACAGTCCAGCTTTACAACACGGGCAGTGAGCCCAGCTAATTCATTTGTAACAGTCTGGCAAAGGGCCCACAGTTAGCACACAATAGACGACATTAATGTAATGGGTCTTACCTGCTGGAGAGAGACAGAGAACAGGGAGAAGACTGTTGAGCAAAATGGCCTGTGAATGCGGGTGATGTTTAATAAAATGCAATCTTCTCTTTTTTCATTCACCATAAGCCACTTGGTAAAGTGATTTAGATGCTTTTGATTGCTTTCCTCTGTATTAACTGGAAGAATCGTTTAAAAAAGACAACAATGGATGTGCAGTGTATGTAGAGTAAGCCTTGGTGCACGTTTATCATGAGTGCCTTGAACATAAATAGCATGCTTGCATATTACATGTTGCATTACAGCAGGCACCATTGTTTAATAGTGGGAATTTGGCTGATTAGGCCTGTCACAATAACAAATTTTGCTGGGTGATTAATTGTCTCAGAAATTATTACAATAAACAATAATGTTGTTTGAAATTTGACAATAATTAATAATTATTGTCCAATTTAAGAAGAAATGTTAAAATTTGTTTTGAATGTAGTACCTTTTTTCAACCACCAGATGGCAGTATAAGACTGTTTGAACTGAAGGATGGATAGTGAGGGAGCGAGCAGCGTGTCTCTTTAAGAAAGATGGGAGGGAGGCCACTTGACGTGACATGGGTGGTCTCCCATTTTTCTCAAAATGGCAGACGCTCGGTGTGATTTGAGCGCTTTAGCATAGCATTTCACACACAAAGCTTTTTAATAATAATTAAAAAAAATAAAATAAACTAGTTCTCAGCTTCTTTGTGCAGAGAAAAAACTTTTTACACAAAGGCACGGGTTTCAACCATGAATTTTGGAGCCTCGACAAGACGGAGGCTTTTTTCCCCGAGGTTAGCCTGCTAGCTTAGCTGCTTTCAACGATCCAAAAACACGTTTTGGACTGTTAAAATGGATTTTAAAGAGAACAGGGAGAGGTCAGTGAAGAGCACCGGGGTTTAGCCTTTTGTCATCCAGTGTCTTCAGTAGAAAGATTGAGACACAAAGAAACGATAAAGCCGATAAATTAAAATGAAGTCCATCCATCCATTCTCTTTACACGCTTATTCCATTTTGGGTCACGGGGGTCGCTGGTGCCCATGTCCAGCAATCACTGTGCGAGGGGCGGGGTACACCCTGGACAGGTCGCAAGTCCATCACAGGGCCACATAGAGACAAACAACTATTCACACTTCCACTCACATCTAGGGACAATTTAGAGTTACCAATCAGCCTAACATGCATGTTTTTGGTCTGTGGGAGGAAACCGGAGTACCCGGAGAAAACCCATGCATGCACGGAGAGAACATGCAAACTCCACCCAGAAAGGCCACTGGACCGGGGTTTGAACCAGGGACCTGCTCGCTGAGAGGCAGAAGCTCTACCAGTTGCGCCACCGTGCTGCCCTAAAATGAAGTCGATAATTTTAATTTATCATGTGATTAATTGATTTATTGTTTATTGCGACAGGCCTATGGATGATTGTTTTGCCAGATACATACCATCAGTTGATTGTTTCGTAAGGTCTTTACCTCTCTCCATTACCAGCTTCATACGTTTTACTTTCGTTACACCTTGCTGTTGTTGCTGCTGGGATTATTCAACTGGTCTACTTTTATTTTGTTTTATTTTTTTGTAGATTACCGAGCTCAGTAACATCAAGAACATTACCCGGATGCCACGGGAGACAAGGAAGCATGCTGTCGCCATCATCTTCTGTGATGACACGTCAAAGACATTTTCCTGTGAATCAGGTTAGTGCCTTTTTTCATGCAAAGTCCTAAATTGTATTTTTTTTTAGCTACGATGGGAGCAAAGGAGGGAAAAATAATCAATAGATTTATTTCATGTAGGATGTGGTTTTTGAGAAGTTTGGCAGAGGAATAATGAGAAGTTAGAGGTCAAAAAGGAAAGAAAAATAGATTAAAGTAAAGGAGGTGTTGGAGAACTGGAGCTGAGCCAAGTAATGCTCATTTGCCACAATATTAAGAAGTAGGAGACTGTGTTGTGAAGTATTGACTTTTACTGTGCAGATATGAAAAGCAATATTAGGCATAATTTGTATGATTTTTTTTCTGCCCACTTATGTACTGTAACAATAAAGATTGCTTCTAATATGTGGGTAGAAAGCCAAAGAGGCACAAGATCTCCAGAGCTGGATACGATGATAGCAAACTAACAAATAATTTAAAAGAATTAAGCCATGAAGGAGTGTGCATGCACAGAGTTCGGTGATTTGGGTACTGTTGAAGGGCAGAACATTTCTTTTTACTTTGTTTTATTTATTTATTTTACAATCCTTGAGTCTCTGTCGCTTCCTTTTGGTTCATCATCCTGTGACCACTGACTTCCCATAAAACGTCACTTTCTGGAACTGCTTTATAAATATGAACTACAATCTTAAAATATTCATGAAAATTACCCTGTACTGTAAAATTTGTGTGCTGCAAAAGCACGTGAACAATTGCTTTCAGGAACCGCTGTCCCTGTGTGCTGCAGTAAATGCAACCGCCATTTTCAATAAATGTCGATCTTTCATTTGATCTGGAGGATTTTTGTTGTCGTATTCCTGTAAAACTCTACGATAATCCTTGTATAATCTACTCACTTCAGGTTTTTCTATTTCAGTTTCATTGAATGAAAATCATGACTTTGACCTAATCATGCCAAACTGTTCACTATTTGCATTTTTAGCATTTTCACGGTTAAAACTATAATGTGCTTTGGCCACTAACCTTTGACCTTAGGATATTTGAATCACAAATGCATGATTTGTGACAAAAACTCAGCCTGGTGAGTTTTTAAATTCAGTATCAATTCTCATGGGATGAGACAGTTACTGCTTTAGACTAAAAGAAAAAAAAGTCTGATAAAGAATTTGTGCAAAGTATGGAGTAAATTAGTCTCAAAAGTAGTCACACAAGCGTATTTGTATGTGTACAATAAGATCCACCGGCGTACCATGAGATTCACTGAGTTTATCAAATGTACTCGTTTCGTTTGGCACAATATTCTGTGCATACAAATGATCAAATCCACAAGTACAAATCACCTGCTGTGGACGGATCAGTCAACACGGATCAGCTTGCCTGTCAATGTGACTGTTGAGACCATCTTACTGCTCCAGATTCATAATGCTGCGTTCAAGGCTGGTGAAAAGCTGGGACATCTGAACCTCCCCACATTTACTGAGTTACTGTAAGTGGGTAAAGGAGACATTTCTAACTCGTCACAGTAACCACTATATTAAAAACACATGTTCTTATATTGATGTTATTAAGTTCAAAAACTGTTAAGAGTAGATCTGTCCCATAGGTAGCCAGATCTGGTTGGCAGGCCGTAGATTGAGGAAGTCCTCTGGATGGGGGACGAAATGTTTCTCACTTCAAGAAACTGGTCCAGATGACACAATTTAACTTTTGTTGTTATTTTTCCTGTAGTTTTTCCACAAGATAAAAATGTTTACTCTGTGGTCTGTATGGCAGAAATAAAAATCCTAAACTGGGTAGGGTTCTTCTTGTGACAAGAATATGGTCAGACACATATTACAATTCTGCAGCATGCAGAGAAACGCCATTTAAATCTTGTTTCGCACTGACAGGTGTTCAGACGTCTTCCTTTAAAAATTACTACTGTACATTTTCATTGTTACAGCACCATTTGTGATAGTCTTTATTTTATATTGTTCAAATGACTTTAAACACAACTGAAATTTCCAAAACTAACATCAAACATTTAAAAAAAAAAAAAAAAACTTTTAAAGCCATTACGATATTTAGGAAAAACGGGAAAAATTAAGTAAATACAAGAAGGTTTAGGATTCGAAAACTCAGCCACACAACAAGAAAGGATAAATAGTTTATTGGTTTGCAGCTGGTGGTGGGAGCCTGGGTCCAGATGTGGGAAAAAATCTGCAGAGTTATGACAGTGGTCTGTAGGTTTCCAGGAGATCGTTTGTCAATAAGAGCCACTAACCTTCTCAGGCAGGTAAGGTGGTTTACACCTGTCATAGTTTGGATGGATGACATCACCGTAGCTGGTGGGGTTGCAGCAGCAGGGGAGCACGGTGATAGCTATGAGCAATGGGGTAATCTAGAGTCGGGTCCATTAGGAAAAGCAGGGGTCATGCACGGGGAGTCAGAGGTCTCAAATACAAAGGGCAGTCCAGAATCCAAGGGCCAGAAAGAGTTGTCATTATCAGGATCAGATAGGCAGAGCAAGAACAGATGGGAAGCAGGCAAAAAGACAAATCCAGAAGACAGGCGTGGGGTCAAAAACAAAAAGATTCAGACAGGAAACGCTGGACATCTAGTACCAATAATGGGTTTCATAATCTGGCAAGGAGCTTTTTTTCTTGTATAGTTTTATGGTGGTTGGCAGACCAACTGGGAAGGAGCATTACCACCACCTACTGAACTGGAGTGTGGACAGGAGATAACTAGAAAAAAAATGCTGTGAAATAAACTCCATCCATCCATTATCTTTTACTCGCTTCTTCCTTCACTGGTCACTGGTGCCCATGTCCAGCCATCACTGTGCGAGAGGCAGAGGACACCTTAGACATGTCTCCAGTCCATCACAGGGACACATAGAGACAAACAACCATTCACGCTCTCACTCACACTTAGGGACAATTTAGAGTTACCAATCAGTCTAACATGCATGTTTTTGGTCTGTGGGAGGAAACCGGAGTACCCGGAGAAAACCCATGCATGCACGGAGAGAACATTCAAACTCCACCCAGAAAGGCCCCTGGACCAGGATTTGAACAGAGTAACTTGCTTGCTGAGAGGCAGCAGCTCTACCAGTTGCACCACTGTGCTGCAAATCAACTTAGTTCTCTCGATTAAGTTAGTATTTTTCAAGAAAATCATCATTTGATCTTTTATTTTACTGCCACCATTACTAAAAATGTCACTAATTGTAAGTTTAATATTCATTTCATGTACTTCTTATTGGAAATGCCTTCTTTCTGGTTCATAACCGAGACATTCTGTAAAAACATACTGAAACGTTGCAAGAAAATTACTGGTACATTTGTCACAAAGTCCCGTTGCATGTTTTCCAATTACTTTGAGATTTATTAAGACCTGTATGTCCTATTCTGATACAAGTAATTATTGATTCTGGTTTCCTGTTTCTTCCTGCTTTCCTTGTACTGTATATCATACCTTTTTCTTAAAGTTGGGTCTTCCTGCATTATTAATGTCCCAGTTTTCATGCCATATTTTCTTAATATACATCTGTTTATTATCATTTTACATTCATCTTTACTTATTGGTATTTCATAATTAATATTTTTAGTTTTTAATGCCCGTTTTGCAAGAATGTATGCTTCCTCATTGCCGTGCTGGAACCCAAACAAAATCTACTGATATTTCCCTCAATTCAAGTTTATAAAGAATATGGTAAATCCTGTTAATAATGTCTTTTCTTTTTGAGTTATTTGATGCTTAATAAAGCTGCCATAATGTCAGATGCAATTTCATATTTTTGACCATTATCTTTTTCAGTCCACTCTAAACCCATAACCTGCAATATACCATTAACAGGATGCAATTGTCCATGTCCTTGAATATTAATCCACTATTCTAACATTTGTTTTAACCTTGTAATTCGTAAAGGTATTTCTCCCATTTCAACTTGCAAAGCTGCGACTGGTGATGTTCTAAATGCTCCACAGCATATTCTACGGGTTTTTGATTGTTCAATATAAAGAAGCTTCAGATTGGTTTCTGCTGCTTCCAAATAGCTGATACTACCATAATCAAGAGTTGATCTCATGAGAGATTGATATATAACGACTTCCTATTTGCTCCCAATTCCCTTCCTGCCAAACAACATACTATATTATTGACATTTTTACATTTTATTTAAACTTTAATCAATATGTTGCTTCCAAGTAAGTTTTTCATCAAACGTCATGCCTAAAAATCTTACATCCTTAAACTGGGCAAGGAGCTGGTGTGACAAGAGCTCTTAAATAGTGAGGCAGCAGGTGCAGGGGATGAAGCTGATTGAACTGTGGGTGCAGAGCGTGACATGAAAAGGGCAGAAACATGACAAAAAAAATTAAATTCAAATCGATTGCACAATAACTCACCTATAAAATATTTAAATTAAGCTACCTTCACTTTAATTACAGTACAATATCAATTGGAGAACCTGATAGTCTAAATGCGTTTTTGATGACAATATTCCAAATTTGCACAGAAAAATCTGAGACGCTGCCTGCGTTCTTGAAAACAAAGAGCTCCTATCACTTATTAAAATCTCCTGGTGTTTATTTTTAAATTCACTAACCCTTTTTGAAGACTAAGCCCTGCCGTGTGCGTTGTCAATAAAACACAAAGTAAAACAGAGGAAAAACAATAAAATCCCACGTTTTTGACAGCTCTCGGTGCCATTGTCAAATATGCACATAAAGAAATGAGCGTGGCCTCAAGTTATGACTATTGTTGAGAATGTCAGCTGCGTAACTCCATGGAGTCTGACAGATAAGTGCAAATACAGTATGTGTTGTCTAATAATGAGTTCAGACAGTCTCCCGGATGGATTTTTACATGCAGCATCTCTCACTCATAGGCGTTGCAACAATTATATGTGATGGGGAAGTAACCTCCTCACATTTAAACCCCCCACCACCACCACCACCACACACACATTTACCATGAAATATTAGTTTACCCAGCGCCGTTTCTATTGCTACGTGAACAAATCCATTCCACTCGATCAATAGGAGAATACTCAAACCACTAGGAGTCTACTCTGGGGTTTCCTGGTTACCTACAGCTCTCACCGGTACACCTCAGGGCTGTGTCCTCAGTCCACTCCTGTACTTTCTATTTACACATGACTGTAGACACTTGTGTTAGCACCAAGTTAGTGCTGGTAGTTGTTGACCGGAGTGGGAGTGGGTTAGGTTGAGTGAGAGAAGCAGAGCACTACGTCTGTAGCATCTTAACTAGCGCATCTGTATTGCACACCGCTAGCTTAGCGCTATGTTAGTGCCAGCAGTTGTTGACCAGGGATGGGGGTGAGGGGAGCATTGTGCCATGCTCTCTAAAATAGTTATTGAATCAAGTGTTTATGTAGGTTCATGTAGATGTTTAACAGCCAGTTAAGTAAAACAGGATACAGGAAATGGCATCTACTTTATTAAAAAATTTCTGGAGGAGGACTTCCAGACCTGGGCAGCACAGTGGCGCAACTGGTAGAGCTGCTGCCTCTCAGCGAGCAGGTCCCCAGTTCAAATCCCGGTCCGAGAGCCTTTCTGGGTGGAGTTTGCATGTTCTCTCCGTGCTTGCGTGGGTTTTCTCCGGGTGCTCCGGTTTCCTCCCACAGACCAAAAACATGCATGTTAGGCTGATTCTAAATTGTCCCTAGGTGTGAGTGAGAGAGTGAATGGTTGTTTGTCTTGTTTGTCTCTATGTGTCCCTGTAGTGGACTTGCGACATGTCCAGGGTGTACCCCGTCCCTCGCACAGTGACTGCTGAACATGGGCACCGGCGACCCCATGACCAAAAATGGAAGAAGTGGGTAAAAGGTAATGGATGGATGGACCTCCAGACCCCCCCCCCACCCACCACCACCACCACCAGTGTATTCCCCCACACTTTTCAAATGCTTCTGACGTCAATGCTCTCACTCTAGCCTAACACATTGAGTCCACACATTCCCACAAATACACACAGAGACGACATCCTGCCATATCTCCTAATGCGTGCCACGTAGAGCGGCCCAGGTGCCGCTGCGCTGATGAAGTGTTTGTTTAGCTGATTTTCCACTCAACGGCCTCACAAAGTGTAGGGGTTCAGAAACACTTAAAGGCCACGGCACAGGGAATAAATGGAGGCGTGAGTAAAAAAAGCTGAATGTCTGTTTTCTTGTGTGTAAATGAAGTGCTTACACATAGCAGACCTTTCTTTAACCCTTCGGCCAGCTTTTTTCATTTAGTTTGTTTTATAAGACCGACATTTACACAATTCTCCCCAAAGCGTATGACAGAGTTTGGTTAACGGACATAGAAACATGTTAGTATTCACATGCACACGTGTTTCTGTTCTGTAAGCAGGAGGCTTCATGAAGATGAACAACTGGTGTTTTACTTCTCTTCACACTTTTTCCCAAAAGCCCAGGACAGTTTGAAATTTTCTGTGTTGTAAACAGTATTTTTTTAATTTACAACTTAACAGTAAATACAATTATTATTGATAAATAAGTTGCTAAACAGACTGAGATTCTTAAAATCATTTGTTTCCATTTAGCATTGAATTAAAAAAAGAAGAAGCTCCTTTCTTTTCCTTTTTTTTTTTTGAGTATGATTCATTCAGCAGACCAACAAGTGGTTCCCAATTGTGGTCCCTGAGGAACACCATCCTGCATGTTTCAGTTGTTTCTCTGCTCCAACACACCTGATTCAGTGGTTTAATTACGCCCTCAAGTTCTGGGGAAGCTGGTTAATCACCCATTTGTTCAAATCAGATGCATCAAAGCAGGGAAATGAGCAAAACATGCAGGATGGTGTCCCTCAAGGGCCAAGGTTGGGAGCCACTAGACCCCCTCCCCTGGGACTTCAACTTTGTAGATATTGTGAAAGAATGTGTAAAATTTCAAAACAAGCCAAGTCCTTTCTCAACATAAGATACTACCGTAGTTTAAAACTCTGGCATAAAAGGGCCATGTGTTCTTCAAGAAATACCAGGTCTTTGATTTGTTTTGTATCGTTCAGCTTCATCCGATTACGGACTAAGAAGACTTGGATTGTCTTCAAAATTTCTTGAAGATTGCTCAAATATAAACAGCAGCCAAAACCTAATTACAAGAAACTGATAAACCCAAGAGCCTCTCTCGCACACAACTCCGTGTAAACCTTAAAACGACTGCATGTGCACAACACTTTGAGTTTTGCATTGCTGATAGTTGGGTCTATTAAAACAGGAAATAGTTCCACTGAAAAACAAAAGAAATATTAGGCATTTTGGGATTTTGACTGTAAGGAAGGTTCTGTTTTGTACATTAAATAACAGCACATTTAATTAAAGACCTAGCATTCCTTGAAGGTATGCTTATCGACCTCCATTTTTATTGCTAAAGTTATAAATTACGATCATCTTATGTTGAGATGTGATAGTGTGAGCCATTACGGTCAACACTGGCAAAAGAGGTTATGCACAATCTCATGCATATTGTGAGATCTTCATGATCTAGAGTTTGAAGTGGGTGTTGTGGATAAGCTGTAGCTACTACCACACCACATTTTAGCTCATCCATCCATCCATTTTCTTCCACATATCTAGGGACGGGTCGCGGGGTAGCAGGCTAAGTAGGGAGGCCCAGACTTCCCTCTCCCCAGCCACTTGGACAGCTCCTTCGGTGGAATCCCAAGGCGTTCCCAGGCCAGCAGAGAAACATAGTCCCTCCAGCGTGTCCTGGGTCTTCCTGTGGGTCTCCTCCCATTTTAGCTCAATAAATGTAAATTTAGTCTTTGCTAAGATTGCTTAGCTCTGGTGGCTATCTTGATTGTGTTTGACTCCAATAGTTAACCAGTTTCAGATGTACATACCGTATTTTACGGCCTATAAGTCACACCTTTTTGCCTAATTTGCATACCCTGAGACTTATATGCCGAAGCGACTTATTTATGGATTTTTCCCATATTTATAAACCAATTTTTGACTGAGATATGACTGTTTTCATTCATTCTGACATTGAAAATATTGACCACTACCATTTTCAGCTGCTAGAGGGCTCTCATATTTATGGCATGATTTTGTGTCATGTAATATGTAAAACTGGCTATTAATGACACAATCGGCTTGCCATAGTCTGCCACCTTTGTCCAGCTCGCCTGGAGCTACTGTCAAATCAGCTTCATTTTGCTGCGTCGCCCCAGTGAAATGCAGCTAATTTGACCATTACGGTACGTTTATTAAGTAAAAGTTCAACTGAGACACTCCTTTGCTATAATTTCGAGCAAACAAATAATTGTTTTTAGGTGGTTATCTTGTTAAATTTTGAAGAATGCACAGCGAGTCGTTCCTCTGCGCACTCCCGCGTCAGTTTTTGAAAATGCAGCTGATTTGACCATCAAACTGCACATATAAAGGAAAAGGTAGACTGAGACACACCTTTGCTATACTTTTGCGCAAACAAATAATTGTTTTTAAGCGTTAATCTTGTTATAGTCCTCCTGTGCACGCTCCCACGGCCACCATTTGGCTATGCGTCAGCAGTTATGTATAATAGGTGCGGCTTATACAGCGAAGCGACTTATTTATGGATTTTTCCAAATTATTAGACATTTTTGGACAGATGCGACTTATAGACTGGAAAATACAGTATATTGATTGAGTTTCAGTAAAATCAGTCCAGTGGTTCATAATACAGTATAGTTTGCTAATGCTACAGGCAAACAAACAGAAAAACATTTACTGCTTTCAATAATATCAGTGGATTAGGGTAGATCGCCTGTCATTGCTCTGTTCAAAAGTAAAATACCGGTAAATGGAATTTGCTTTGCTAAAATAAGAGGTTATTGGTTCTGTTTTTCTTTTTGAAAAGATTAGAAGTGGGTTGATATTTAGCAACAAATGACAGCAGCACTGCTCTTTATTTTTACTGAGTGTGTCGTATCTGTGTTCCTTCATCTGTCACTTGCTGAACTCAACAGGTTTTTATTCACCTGCACTAAATAGATCCGATTGATCCCTCTTAGTTAACGTTAGTTTCAAGGTTAACAAGGTTGAGTCAGGTCCTCTGGACGGATTTGCGGAACATGTCAACAAAGACGAATCCGTCCAGAGGACCTGACTCAACCTAGTTTAGATTTATCTACCTGGATTATCGAGCATACATCAGGACACTTTTCAAGGTTATTACATGCAACGTTTTGTTTTGGAATCCGTCAGATGTTTGTGATGGGAACCCTGAAGGCAAATGTATCAGCACGATGTTTAACATGGAGATGCGTGGCTGTTTAAAGGTGCCTTCACGTTGTACCGTTGTTTGGCAGAGCTGGATGCAGAGGAATGGTGCAAGCTACTGTGCATGGAGTGTCTGGGAACCCGTCTGACTGACATCAGCCTGGGAGAGCCGGACCTGTTAGCAGCGGGGGTGCAGCGGGAGCAGAACGGTGAGTTCCCAATTAGTTCCTGCTAACACAGACAGCTATGTGGGGTCAATCTCTTTCACTCAGTTCACCGCCGAGCAGTTAGCTGTTGCATTCAGGGTCCTGTTAGTGTTAAAGCAACTGAGACTTCAGAGGGTCGGGGGAGTAGAACAGCCATTGCTCAATTACGCCTTGCTAATAAGAACCTTTTTTTATTTTGTCGATATTTGATTTAAGAGCCTTTACTTGTATTAGCACGCTATCGTTCAGCTTCAGAGGCATGTTGAGACGAGTGTGTGTGTGTGAGCGCAGGTCACAGGCTGTGTCGGGGCTTCTGTTCCTGGCCTAATGAGAGGTGCTGTGCGTTACTGGCTTCCCTCGTAATGAAGATTGTCATGGAGATGGATGAGATTATGGACGCGAAAGCCGTGTGAAATTAATGCACCTCGCCAAATATTCCACTCACAGGAAATGGTAGGAAGAGGAGAAAACAGTGTCCGGCTATTTCAGGGAAGCTCATTTACTGTTAGGCACAAAATGAGTTTTGCAAGAAATCATCTTGCAAAGCAAACTTTTCATCATAATCTGGCTCCATTTGTAGAAGACATCAGCACGTGATGGGGTGATCCGGTTGAAGCACAACACAGTCCGGCTCCTTTGTGTCATGGCTGGAATCACGCTGTTCGCTGCTCATTTCAAGGTTTCAGCAGGACGTGATTGAAACACCTCCCACCTTGCCTTTCAACAAATGACTCAAACTGCTTGCACTTTAAATATTGTCTTCCCCCAAACAGGAAGGGCCGGCAATTAGATCAGAGTTCATTTTCACTGCCCTCCCCAAGGATATGCCACACCGTGACATTGCTGGGGTTTTTTTTTTCTGTCCACTGGAGATATGTGGTTTATTTAGAATCGTTAAATGTAATCAGTGAGATCTAATTTAGATTGTGGACAACACTGCCTGTTGGTTCACATCACAGAGATGGTTTAATATGAATGAGCAACTTTATTTTCTATATTTCACAACAAGGAATACTATAGCTGCAACTTGCTTACAAATATTTAAAAGGCCTAATAATTTGCTTTATTTATTAGGGATGCACCGATCCACTTTTTTTTCCGATACCGATATTTTCTGTTTTGTGATGGACGATACCGATCCGATATCGATCCGATACATATAAGCTGCTGAAATAACTTAAAACGTTTGTTTTTTGAACACAGACATAAATGTACTGAATTACAAATTTATTGAAAACTGCACCAGCACAGCACACTTAACCACACCAGTAGCTTCACAAGCTTGGTCAAACGTGTAAAAACAACTTTCATTTGTTCAGTCTGTGCAATTATGAGTATAACATCAAATGTAAAATAAATAATAATAAAGATACAACGTTGGTCAAACTAGAAAAAATAAATTTTAAACCTTTCAAATGGTTCAAGAATTCTAAATATAATGTAAAATAATTCATAAAGCAGCTGAAATAAGAGGAAACAATATCTTCACTAGCTTGGTTGGCAGATATTTAAAATAAACAGCAATCAGCTGCTGTCCTTATGGATTGGTCACATTGTAACGATACCTGATCAATACATTTTTCCAATACCGATACTAATAACGGAACGGTGCATCTCTAAATGTTTACAGAAGACCGACTTTACTGCGCTTTGATTCTGCAGTGGTCATATTTAAAGATATTTGCAGGAAATAAAATCGTTTGATGCGTTCAGTCTGAAAACGTAAAGCCAAACGTAGCCTTGACGAACCGTCTTGTGTCAATTGTATTGATTTGCAAGGCAGACTGTGAAGAGTACATTACGGTTAGAGGTAGAGCCTTTTTTAAAACGTCTGTCTAACCAGAAATGTTGCATTGAAATGAAGTATTTAGGTTTGATTCTGGGGATGGTATAGTTGGACATGCATATATTAAAAGCTGGATTTTAAAACTATGTATTTCAGGGTTGTCCAAACATGTGGACCAAAACCTTGAAGATGAAAGGAGTCACAAGATTTAATGAATAAATAAATAAATAATAAAACCCGTACATGTTTTTAGTGCTTTTTTAAACTCAGTGTTAACAATATTTTGGAGAAAGGATAAAATGTACAATTTTTTGGTGAAGGTGTTCTAAATTATTGTAGATCCAAAACATTAAAAGCTTCATAAACAATAACATTTTATTACTTTATTTTTTTAAACTTAATGTGATTTTATTGATTTATTGCCCAAAAATTGTATTAAGCTTAATATTGCTCATTTTGAAAAAAGAAACAAAAAATCCATATTGCAGTTAAACCTAAAAATTATATTAAAAAATTATCATTAATTTTGCAAAAGGTTTACATCAATCTCTTAAGCCTATGGGCCAAAACTATATCGCCCTTAAACTGCAGTTGTGGACCGCACACGATCAGTCCAAGGGCCACACATGGCCCACAGGCCACACCCTGACCTATTAACACAATAAAGTTTGACCTATACAGTAATAATCCGTCATATTCAGTTTAAAAAATTTCCAAGTTTATGTCTTGAGAATGTTGTTTTGTCATAGAAAGTGCAGAAGTCCTGTTCTTATTTTGACCCAAGGGCAGCAGGAGGGTCACATCTGCATTGCTGAATGTGTGATCAGTGCTGGACAGGAAGTTGTTGCTTTAATTGTTCTTCTCTGTGAGATTCCTCCTTTTAGGGAGTGTCTGTGGATTCTTGCAGAACGCTTCAACGTGTACCTCATGCCCACCCCTAACCTGGACATCTACGGGGAGTGCACCATGCAGATCACCCACGAGAACATCTACCTGTGGGACGTCCACAACGCGCGCCTCAAGCTCGTCATGTGGCCTCTCAGCTCCCTGCGCAGATACGGCCGAGACTCCACCTGGTTCACGTTTGAATCCGGCAGGTGTGTGTGCAAATACCAAAATGCTAAAAGTTAGTGTGGAAAATGCACCGAAGAAGAAACTTTTAACTTCCAAACCCTCCCGGGATCCGTGCTGCTGAGCCCTTCAGGCGTTGTTGTGACAGCCGCTTCTGCGAGCGCGTCTCTTCGTTTTGTGACTTCAGGGAGGACGGCTGCTTTCATCCACGGCCCTCCCTGAAACCCCATGTCAGCCGTGCATGTTTGTAAACCAGCAATCCGAAAGCGAGCCCGATCAAAGTGTGTGTCTCTGTGTGTGTGTTCCTGGCGCAGGATGTGTGACACAGGAGAGGGTTTGTTTACGTTCCAGACGCGAGAGGGGGAGATGATCTACCAGCGGGTCCACTCGGCCACGCTGGCCATCGCCCAGCAGCACGAGCGGATGATGGAGGAGATGGAGAAGAGCTCCCAGGTATATTTGTTGTGTAACCTCATATGAAATGTTATTTCCAACATTTAAAACTGTTTGGGAACAGCAGGCATCACTGTCACACATTAGGAAATGCTGCTGAAAGAAACACGGAAAAGTTTGTATGAAAAACTTGTTTTTTCTTCGGTTAAAGCCTCGATTCTTGGGCTTTTCATGTTCACTTCCTGTTTTGATTTAGTCGGATCAATTTCATTGGGGATATTTTTAGAAACGTCTGAACCAATGAGTCGTGAGCATCAAACACATGAGATTGTAGATTTCTCCTCAGGCTTTGCTTCTCTGTGTTGGACCAGAAGCACCTCTGACACCCCACAGGCTTGGCCTCCGCTCCCTCACACTCGTGCTTCCTTCCTTCCCACTATCATTTGCATTCTTTATTTTTAATGGAGCCTCGACCATATGGCCATGCTCCTGTGTGCCACAATTTAAATAATATTTTCTAAATCGTTTGCTACGTGAAATTAGCAATTGATGTTTTCTACATGGGTGGCACAGTGGATCAGCTGAAGCTGTTGCCTCTCAGTAAGAAGGTCGCTGGTTCAAATCCCGGTCTGGCACTTCTCTGGGTGGAGTTTGCATGTTCTCTCCGTGCATGCGTGGGTTTTCTCCAGGTACTCCAGTTTCCTCCCACAGACCAAAAACATGCATGTTAGTCTGGTTGGTAACTCTAAATTGTCCCTAGGTGTGAGTGAGAGAGTGAATGGTTGTTTGTCACATCCCCGTGATGAACTGGAGACCTGTCCAGTGTGTCCCCCGCCTCTCACCAGTGATCCCTGCAACCCAAAAAGGAAGAAGCGGGTAAAGATAATGGATGGATGGATGTTTCTTTTACAGTTTTGTAAAGTATCAATATATTTCTATGGGGGAGTGGTGGCGCAGAGGCTAGAGAAGGCAAGCCTGTGATCGTAAGGTCGCTGGTTTGACTCCTGGAACCAACAACATCAAAATGTGGGTGGAAAAAATGAAGCACCCACACCTGCCTCATATACACTGTATTATATTATTATTGTTTAGCGCATATCTTAGATTCTTGTATGCTGTTTCTTTTTTTATAGTTTATATTATTGCTATTTTGAGGACCCTGCGTACACATTTCCATTCCACATCATGTACCACATGTGATGCAAATGACAATAAAGTCTCTTTGAACCTTGAACCCTCATTTGCTCCACTCTGGGCCCTTGAGCAAGGCACTTAACCCCCACCATCTGCTCCCTCGGGCACCCTAGATGGCAGCTCTCTGCTCCACACAGAGGGCTGTGGTAGCTCGGTGGTTGCGTCAGGAAGGACATCCGGCGTAAAAACAACTGCCAAGTCTTCGTGCGACTTAGTTCACCGTGGTGACCCCTGAAGAAGGGAGCAGCTGAAAGGAAAATTAAAAAATCTATATATTTCTTACACGTAAAGCTCTTGGGTTATTTTGTTCCACACCGCACCAGAATGAAATAAAAAAAACATTTCATCCTGCGCAGCGCTCGAAATGGGCATCGTCTTTAATCTACCGTCAATACCACCAAGTGTAAACTACAGCCAATTCATTTAATCTAGTGTGGCCACTGGACGTTGGACCTGCTCTATGATGCTTCGGACTGGGTCAGATTTACGGGATTAACTGATATATGACTCATGAAGAGTGATGGTTGGGGAAAAGTTCAGCGTAAGTGGTATTATCCAGTTTTTTTTTTTTTTTTCTCAAAACTGCAGCTTTCTAAATGGGATAATGAACATTCTGTTGTAAAAAGAATAAAACTAGACCTACGTATTTACGGTGGTTTCTTACTGGGCTGTGACTGTTGAGGACTAGTTGTCGACTCAAAATTGAGAGGAAAAACATTGTTGCTTTTACTGTTAAATTAGTAGCTGCCTTTGAGCAACCAATTCTTGAAAATCAGTGCCTATTTTTGCGTACACAGCTCGCAAAACTGTATTCTAGGCTGTGCACAATATCTCTGGCAATGTTGTGATTTGGTGTACCGTATTTTTCGGACTATAAGGCGCACTTAAAATCATTTCATTGTCTCAAAAATCGACAGCGAGCCTTATAATCCGCTGCGCCTTACGTATTAATTCTGGTTGTGCTTACTGACCTTGAACTGATTTTATGTGGTTATTGTGAATGAGTTGAATAAAGTTTGACTTATCTGTTTTGTTTCACTTAATGCACATTATAATCCGGTGCGCCTTATGTATGAAAACAGACCTGCTCATTGATATTGCGCCATATAGTCCAAAAAAATACAGTATTTAGTATTGAATCGATAAGGTTTAATAATCCATCATATAATAAGGCATTAGTTAGGTGAAAATTGAGTTTAGAAAAGGGGTCTGCAACTTTTTAGATCAAAACAGCCATTTTTACCCTTCACTTACTAAACAAAATGTGTCTAGAGCTGCAAAACCTGCTACAATGGTCATCAACTGGTGGCTCATGGGCCACTTCAAATTCATATGAAGGGGTTTGTTTCCAGCCAGTGGGGTGATTTTATAAGACAAAAATTATATATTGAATTTTAACATTTATTAATATTTTTACGTTTTAGGGCTAAAGGGAATTTTTTTATTTATTTATGTAAACAAAGGGAAAATATATATTTTTTTATCCATTTTGATGGATATGTAATTTTGACATTAAAAGTTTAATTCACATTTTGTATTTACTTTAACTTTAATTAGGTCTATCCATTTATTAATTAATTGTTCACCATATTTCTTCGAGGCAGCTTGTCCTAAAGATATTCCAAAGAATTCCTGCTGGATTTGACAGAATGATCTCACTTTAAGGCCAGAAGTTGGAAAAATGAAGTAGCTAAAGCTAATAAACCTTATTTTCTCCTTGCTGTAGTAATTTATTTTAAACATTTGCAGAAAAAAATTGCTACAACTGTCATTTCTCTTTACTGCGGGTATAAAAAACAATTCATTTACATTTTGCATCATGTATGGTGAACACTTCAATTTAGAATAATACATAAAAAAAGGGATATTGGGAAAACGACACAATTTGAGGAGACACAGTTAAGGATTTTACTGAATGTAGCCTTCATGCAGACAAACATACCTCACGTCACATGTTGCTTTCAAGAAATAATTACAGAAGTATGTGCAATCATTATCTTTCACTGTAGTTAGATATAACGGCGCTTCAATTTGCTCATTTCTGCTCATCCCAGCACCTCCCCCCCCCCTCCAACTTCAAGCACTGATCCAGTTGCAAAACATCATGAAGTCCAACACGTCCTCATCCCAACCATCAAACAGCCATTCAGCCTGGAGACATGTTCGCACTCCTCTTTGTGTGTCGACAGATGTAGATCAGTTGTGAGCGAAACGTTTAAAATATTCTGTGTTTCAGTTCCACTCCAGAGAGACGTTAACCAAGTCCATCTCCCTGCCGCGCAGCGCCTACTGGCAGCACATCACACGCCAAAGCAGCGTGGGAGATCTCTACAGTTACCAAGGTACGAGCAGGAATTTCCTAATTATCAAACGGTGTTGCTTTATTTTCTGTATTTTTTACCTGAAAATAAAGCCGAAGCAACTGAGCACAGGACAGCACGTCTAATGAGGAATTTTTACAAACGCTGGCCTTTAGCAGTACCAACGAAAACAGTCCTGGTTGGTTTTTTTTTGTTTTTTTGAAGAGGTCACCTAAACATCTCACAAACACGTTTCAGAACCAGACCAGGCTCTGATTAAAGCAGTTCTTTGCTGTGGGTCTGCAAGGAGCTGATACAGCTGCTGTAACACCCTTTTTTTTTTAGAGCTACACTTTATAATTCAGCAAACGAACCATAAAAAACAAACAACTTTGTGCTAAGCAAGCATTAACTTGAAAACAGTTTTGTAGGGAAAAAGGCCCTGCACGTATTTTATCCCTTTCCAACTAGACGCCTTTGACTAGATTTGGCCATTTGTCATCCTTTACGTACAAATTTATTGAAATAAAAATATTTGCTGACTCTAATCAACAATTCTTGATAATATTTTTTATTCATTCAACGTTTATTTAGACAGGTAAATCCCTGAGAGCCTCGAGGACTCATTTACAAGAGAGACCTGATTTCAACAAAGAATGATGACAATGGACATTATAAAAAAGGCATACAGATTTTTTTTTTTTACAAATAAGATGGCAAAAATAGTAACAAAACAGGCGAACGTAGCAAACTAAAAAGAGGAACTTGTCTGCATTGGTCCCTGCCAGGAGTCCAACAGATGTTTCAAGTCACAGAAAGGTCAAGGTCGAGAGCTTCAGGTCTTTTTGTTAGATATTCCAGGAAACAGGAGCGGAGTAGAAGAAGGCTCTTTTGCCAAGTTCAGTCTGCACTGAGGGAACACTGCAGGTAATAATGTCCTGAGAGCGCACGCTGTAACTGCACTCACGCAGAGACATGTAGGAGGAGATGTATGAAGGCAGCAGACCAAGAAGTGATTTAAAGATGAAAATGTACCAGTGAGAGAGTCTGCGTGAAGTTAATGATGTCCAGTTAACCAGTGAATACAGGGTGCAGTGGTGGGTACGATAATCACAGCCAGTTATGAATCTTAGTGCACCATGATAGACAGCATCCAACATCTGCAGGGTTCTTGTAGGAGCGTTCATGTAAATAATGTCACCGTAATCAATGGAGGGAAGGAAAATCGCAGTTAAAAGGTGTTTCCTGGCATTCAGAGTTAGACAGGATCTGTTTCTGAAAAAGAAACACAATTTAACTTTCAGTTTCCTTACTAGGTTTTCCACGTGAAGCTTAAAAGAGAGATGCGAGTCGACTAAGATACCAAATATTTGAGACACACCTTTGCAATAATGTTGAGCAAACAAATACCGTGTTTTTCGACTATAATCAATCAATCAACCTTTATTTATACAGGTAAATCCCATTGAGCCTCGAGGACTCATTTACAAGAGAGACCTGATTTCAACAAAGAAAGATGACAACAATGGACAACAGCAACAACAATGCTGTATAAGTTGCAGTTTTTTGCATAATTTACATGCCCTGCGACTTATAGGCCGAAGAGACATATTTATGGATTTTTCCCCATATTTATAAACCATTTTTTGGCTGAGTTATGACCGTTTTCATTCATTGACTGAAAAAAAAAATTTGAGAAGTACCACTTTAAGCCACTTGATAGCAGCAGAGTAGTAATAGTTGTATGGCATGATGTTGTATCATGTAATAGCTATACGTGGCTATAATGACTAATTAAAAAAATGTTCAAGACAAAAACATCTGGACTTTATTTATTATACTTTACTTTATACTTTTTTTCTTAAACATTTTTGAATTTACCATGTCCTGGATGACTGAGAATCTCCACCAGCTATTATTGACACAATCGGCCTGCCATAATCTCCCCACCTTTGTTCTGCTCGTTGCTTGGAACCGACAAAACAGCTGCACCGCTCCAGCAAAACGCAGCTAATTTGACCATTAAAGTGCATTTTGAGACACACCTTTGCTATAATTTTGAGCAAACAAATAATTGTTTAGGTGCTTATTTTGTTAAATTTTGTACAGCGACTCGCGTTTACTTCCGCATTTTGAAAAACAGCTGATTTGACCATCAAAGGGCATTTATTAAGCAAACGTTAGATTGAGACACACATTTTGTAATTTTGAGCAAACAAATAATTGTTTTTAAGTGTTAAAATTTCTAAGAACTGCAACAGCAAGACCTCCCAAGTGCGCTCACTTCACTCAGCTGGTGCAGGTGGAGGAACGCTGGAGAGCTAGCAGCTCCAGCCACGATGGATGGATGACGCCTCACTGCCCCGGCGAAATGAAGCTGTTTTGACCATTAAATTAAAACATAATAAATGTGACTTATACACCTAAGTGACATATTTATGTTTTTTTTTTCCTCTTCATGATGCTTTTTTTTAATTAAACTGATGCGATTTGTACACCGGAAAATACGGTAATATTGGTCCACAGATGAAACCATAAAAGCAATAAAATAAAACCACTGTAGCTGTGTTTCTAGATGACACCAGATTTAGAAAGTTAACAAAAATCTCTCAAAAATATCAAATCACAATGTTAATAAAATTCTACAGTTCAAAACAAAAACAGACCTTAAGACAACACAGAGCATAGTTTCCAAGGTAGGACACCATATTTTAATGCCTTCTGTTTAAAAATGTTCGATAGACAAGTTAAATAATTTATATATTGAACAAAAAGCCGAGAAAACAGTGAAACAATGTTAAAGCACGGTGGAGGGAGATTCATAGTTAGAGTCCGCTTTCTGGGCTTTGATGTCATCGAGGAAAAACTAAATTAGTCACCAAGTGGTGACGCCAACGGGGTGTTCAGCTGCAGAAGATTAACAGTAAATATTCTACAAGAGCGGCGAATTTCAAATAAAAAAATGCAGCTTCGTCAGAGCCCAGGGGTAGATCTGAACTAGATCTGCTTTCTTTGATAAAAGGAACAAGAAGAGTCTGTGGGAGGGATTCATCACAAATCCATCAGCCTCGCTACAGGTACCATCCAAGCCCTGTGTGTATCATGTGCACATAAAATAAAACAAAGTGTATGTTTTAGTGTCTAGATGAAGGCCAGAGGCAAAAAGGTGATTAATGTGCTGATGCGATTATCCTCTGTCCACGGTTTTAGTTGATTAGACTTATCTGAGGATTATGGGACTTTCGGGTTTGAGCCAACAAAGAAAGCTGAGCAGGCATAAAAGTCGATCTGATGTCATCATTTCCTTCAACAAGCAAAGACCGGTTCAGACCCCCCCCCCCTCGCTCATTATCATTTAATTGTAGTCTGATAAGCTTAAAAGCAAAATGTGTGGTCTTCGTTCCAAACAACAGTGTTTTCTTACGTTGTATAAACTAAAAGATAAAGCTGCCACCTCTGAGCTCGTTCCACATTAGCCCCAGTCTCCGTGAAGCCTCCTTTAAAAGTCTTCCTCTGAAACTCTGAGCACAGGAGCTTCTCTGCCATCCATCACCTTGGCGTCTCCGCTGGTCCTCCCACACTTTCCCCACGTTCCCCCCGGTTCACAACAAACCTTCTCCTGCTCATACACATTCAGCGCTGCCGTTATTTCCCTCCTTCCCTATGAATAAATTGAATGCATCAGTGTGTTTGAGGTCTTGTCAGACAAGGAGGACGACAAGGTGATTCTGGGAGCGATGGGAGTTTCAGTCTCCTCGTGGCACGGGAGGTTTGGACTGTGAAAGACGTGCGATGCAGACATTTTTAAGGACAGATGCTTTTATCTTGGGGGGCAAGCCGTTCTGGAATGAAACCAGCCATATATAATGATTGCATTTATTCCTCCTTGACATGAGGTCTCTATCATTCGGGGGGTAATTTGCATCCTGTATGTGTACGCCGAGAGAAGATAAACTCAGAGCGAGGGTTCAGTTTTTGTCAAGATCTTTTGACACACAAATTTGTGCTGCACAATATTAGGAACATATTTAATTGCAGTACGGTTGTTGCATATTTTTTAATTGATAATATTCAGCTAATTCAATTTAGAGACCAGTTGCTGGTGTTTTTGGAGGGGAGTGTCGTCTCAGTCTTGTCTGATGTAGGATTCAGTTTAATTCAATTCAAAAACATTTTATTAATCCCAAAGGGAAATTAAACGTAACTCGTTATCCTCGTTTCATTAAGAGATGTTATAGATGCTGATGGCCGCAGACAGGAAGCATCTCTTGTAAAGGTCCGTCCCACAGCAGATCAGAAGAAAATGGCTGCAGATGCTGTACCCAGACTTGGCTGGCCTCTTGGTTCCCCCAGGCTGCAGGACCGCCCGGATACTGGGCCGAACTCCTCCCAGAGCGATGGCCACTCCCTCCAGCAGCATGACGAGCTCCCCGTCGCCGCGGACAGCCGGCGATCATGCCTGGAGTAACCGTCAAATCAGCTTCATTTCACTGCGCTGCCCCGGAGAAATCCAGCTGATTTCACCATTAAAGTGCATTTATTAAGTAAAAATTCAACTGAGACACACCTTTACCATAATTTCGAGCAAACAAATACTTGTTTTTAACTGTTAATCTTGTTAAATTCTTGTTAAAGTCCTCCCGTGCACAATCCCCCATTTGGCAGCCAATCGTTTTTTTGGCACATCGGCCCACATTTCCGAGTTGTCAGCGGTGACGCGTAACAAACGCGACCTGACGCGACGTATTCGGCGGAGAATACGGTAGTATTGCTCTTCGTTATTGTCGCCACTTATTTCTACAACCTTTTGTTGCCTCTTTATTTTGCTAACACGACAAAACGAACGCACACGACTGATCTTTGCAAATTTATTTTTGACTTTTTCCTTCAAGCAATAAAAACTTTGAATGTCCACTGGAAACAAAAAAAAGAGCTTGATTTTACCTGACTTTAGGGATTTGTTTTTGAGCATCAGCACTGATCTGTCCTGCCTGTTAAAGGTAAGAAAGTGTCACCACCCTCTTCCTTCAGCTCGTCTGCTGCCTTTGATACTCGCTACCTCTTGGTAAAATCCCTTTAGTGTCACTCCCAGTGGATCAAAATAAGTACAGCACTCCATTTCATTAGAATTGCTAATGCTACAGCGGTAATCTGTGGAGCACAATAAAACACAGAGTGAGGAGGAGAAAGAAGGATTGCCTGCAAACGGTGTTACAAGGGGGAAAAAAGATACAGTATAAGTATTCTTATCCCCCTTTTTTCCTTTCCAAGTTAGGAGGAGGTAATTGAACCATCTCTGACAGGCATGGGGCCTTGCATTTCCAGCTCGAAAACTTTAAAGTGCACTTATTTCTGTGCATCAGCAAACTCAAAGCAGCCGGCAGCCTCGCTGAAATGCAAAAGAATGAATAACATTAGGAAAGGAGGAGGTGGGAGACGGTAGAAAGTAGGTATGTTGTCTTTACTGTAGTTTCTGGAGATTAAAAACGTTGCTCTGAGAGATTTTCCCTTGCAATAAGTCGCTGCGTTTGGACGCAGAAACTGTGATAATTTTTATTTTTATTTGTAGTAAATAGAAGTTCTAGGAGTCACGGCTGAGACATTTCCTGCTACGTAAAAATTACTTGTGAAATCTACTAAAATTAAGTATATTCAGAGCTTCGGTCCGCCACTAACTCAGGCGAGGGAATAAACTAATGGGAAAATAAACCTCAGTGGAGGAAAAAGACGACAGTTATTCTTAATTATTCACCCCGACCCACGGGGTGTTTGAAAGCAACCCAAGCATGACTCGGCAAATTGACCGTGCTGATTGGATATTTCTCACGTGCGCGGTGAAAACAGCCAGGAAGCAAACACCCAACCAGTGTGGTCCAAAAACCCAGATTTCTCAACTCCCTTCAGTCTAAAACTCTGGCATTAGGCCTGTCACAATAAACAACAAATCAATTAATCGCATGATAAATTAAAATTATCGACCTCATTTTCAATTATCGGCTTTACCGTTTCTTCTTGTCTCTCTCTTTCTTTTGAAGACACTGGATGACAAAAGGCTCAACTCCGGCTCCCTTTCTCTTTTCTTTAAAATCCATTTTAACCATCTAAAATTGCGTTTTTGGATCGTTAAAAGCAGCTAAGCTGAGAAGCTAAGCTACGAGCTAAGCTACGAGCTAAGCTAACAGGCCGACCTCGGGGAAAAAACCTCCGTCTTGTCGAAGCTCCAAAATTCATGGCCTTTGTGTAAAAAGTTTTTCTCTGTAAAAAAAAGCTGAGAACTTGTTTACTATATATTTTTTAAATTAAAAGCTTTGTGTGAAAAATGCTAAAGAGCTCAAACCACACCGAGCGTCTGCCATTTTGAGAACAGAAGAGAGACGGCCCATGTCACATCAAGGGGCCTCCCTCACATTTGTCTTAAAGAGACATGCTGCTCGCTCCCTCACTATCCATCCTTCAGTTCAAACAGTCAAACTGCCTTCCGGTGGTCAATAAAGGTACTACATGCAATACAAATTAAACAATTATTCTTAAATTTGACAATAATTAACGATTTAATGGCAAATTTCAATCAATATTATCGTATATCGCAATAATTTTGGAGACAATCACCCAGCAAAATTTGTTATCGTGACAGGCCTATCTGGCACAAAATGTGGCGGGTGCGTTTCTTCAAGAAATGCCCCTTGAGTTGAGCTCACCCATTGGTATACGTCACCGTAATCTCAGATTTTGATCCGTGGAGCTTGTATTTTAAAAGCGACAGTGGTTTTCCTTCCTTCAAGTTGCTTGCGGTACATGCAGCCTCCCGGTTTCCGCGGTCACAGCTGCTGCTAGGCTGCTATTAGGGTTGTTACACTGAGGAAGCAAGGTGCAGACAGGTGTGTGTCAACATGCATGCATGAATGGCTGCTTGTGTCCTCGCCGCTTCTCTCCGGCTCTGTGGAGTGTGTGTGTCCCTGTCTGCTCTGGTCCCAGCAGCTGCCACCTCAGGCCCGATAGGATGACATGACCTTCCCTGGTAATGAAAAGGCACTGACAAATCACTGTCTGCTTCTCAGAGAGAGCGCGCAGGAGGAGGGATGCTGACGCCATCATCCTCCCTTCTCCTTCTTTTTCTCCGTTTCTTGCGCTCCCCGTGGGTTTATTATTATTTTTATGTAAGTGTGCCTACATTTATGTCTGCTGTCCAAAAGTATGGCTCTCCTCTGGGATCTGGCACCACAAAATCAGTGTTTATGACTGATGGGATGTGCTTGGTCTCTCCGTCTTCTCTTAAGATTTCTGCCTTGTGTTTTTCCTCTTTTCTACTTTAATTGGCTTTGGTTGAGGGGAGGGATTGTCTTGGCAAACATGTGAAAAGGATCTGCCTGGTTGCGCACCAATCGTTTCAGCAACCTATTAAATGCAACTCTAAGGGAAGAGAGAGCACAGAAACTTTCTATACCATGAACTGCATTTAAAGCTTGTGTCTCTTGTTCTTCTCTGTTTCAGGGAGTGGTGGAGAAGAAAGACTAAAAGACAGAGGTGTGTGTGGATGACTCACCTGTTATGACACATTCTGTTTTGGTCTCGCACCCACACCTTGCCCCTGTGCGCCTCCTCCCACAAACTGTTCCCTAACTCACACAGGAAATCACTTTTCTTTCTTTCTCAATGTCTCTTTCTTTACTTGCACATCATGTTTCTTCATGTACCTTTTTTATTTTTAACTAGACTTCTCTCCCCGTGGCTCCGACTCGCACTCACCCAGTCACTTGACACTGATTGCTGGGCTAACTGGCTCGTGTTTTATATTCCTAGTCCTAGCATCTGAGCCCGTTTCCCTTTTAATGGCATCATGACTCCCGGCTCCTCACACAGCAGATTCTCGGTGTGTATTTGTTTTCCTTTTAGGACCCTTTCTAGTCTAATTACCTACTATACCTTGACAGGACTGGTAGCCCTTATGGGGACCAAAGCCTGGTCCTAATACAGTGCAATGCCATTTTTGGATGAAGGAATTAAGGCTAAAGTGTGAATGAAGTTTATGTTAAGCACCGAGTTAAGCTACAAAAATGAATGGAAGTCAATACAATGTCCCAAATTCAAAAAGCATTCAATACAAAAACAACTGGACTTTATTTGTAACAGAAGACATTTCGCTCCTCATCCAAGGAGCTTTCTCAATTCAATGAGCAGTGAGTGAGAGATTCAGGTTATAAGGCTGAGTGAGATAAGACACACACACATATGTAGAATGTCCCAAATTACAAACTCATATACTTGGTTACCATTTCAGGACCCCTTTTGGTGGTCCGATTAAGCAGTCCGATAGAGAGATGAAAAAGGTCCCGGTGGGCTCCGGAGAGAGGCTAGACCTACGACAGCGCATGTTCCTGCTCAGAAGTCCTCATGGGTCAGGTTTGCTGATGGGTCTGGTTCTGCTCCAGTTCCCGGTGGGTTCCGTGCGACTCTCTGCATCCGCTGGGCACTGAAGTCATTGAAATAAACACCGAACTTTTTCGGATCGGATCAAAACTTTCCCTCCATTTCAGCAGAAAGCAACAGCTAGAAGCACCGTTGGCTTCTGGGAAATATAGTCCTTCTGAGTGGCAATACAGTGTAAGCTTATTGAGAGAAAACTACAAAATGGCAGCACCTGTTTGAAATATATATTTTTTGTTAACTTTTTACTGTACAGTATCCTGTACTGTCCCAAACACGTAATATTAAAGTTAACAATTGTGTTGTGTACAATCTTTTTTTAATTTTTTTATCGTGTTCAATCTTACTTTGAAAAACCACGAAAGAGTGAGTCCACGAAAATTGAACCGCAAATTAGTGAGGGACTACTGTAATCACCTACCTTGTCAGGACTGGTAGTTATGCAGACCAAAGCCTGATCTTGGCACAGAGTTCTACTATGGAAGAAGTGCAAACTTCTGCGTGTGGACACTTCTCTATATTATGATTTACTCAGCATTTTTGCACCAACAACAGTTTAGAAAATAATATTTTTGTCAATTTAGCCATTTGCAGTTCAGCAGGAAAACAAAACTCGCTAACTTGTGGATCAAATTTTAATCAACCCCTGTATGCGTATTGACTTGAAACGTGTCGCGACTTCTCGCCGGCGTAGTTAGCGGCTTCCATACGTGCTGCAGGTTAGACTTGATTACAGCGTTGTGTTTGGTTTTGCGCCTTCTAAAATATTGATCAGTGGCCACTTCCTCCTTGTTTGGTGCACCATCAGCAGCCTGCCAGCCACTTTATCCTCAGCCCACCTCTGTGAACACAACTCCAAACAGCAACCTAATGCATTATTAATGGCCTCACAGCTACACAGGAACAGCCCCGCCATCCGCAACTATCCATTACTTCCTTTTAGTGAGTCTAACTAAAATGAACTGTGGAGCAAATTGGTCCAATTCATTGCCATTAAGCTGCAGAGGGAGATGACAGAAAACAGTTTAAAAGATGATTTAATGGAGTTATCTAATGTGTTTTTAAAACAATGAACCTGATAATATTCCAACCGCCAGCTTCAAATTAAACTTGGCATGCCAAATTTATGTATTTATTTTCATCAAAGGGTGATAATATTTTCACATTTTAATGAAATTTTAAGTAAGAAAGAATTGGCTGTTTCTCTACAAATTATTGAGTAAATACCAAGATGGTCGCCATAGATAATCAACCTTAGCAGACACAAAAATGTCAATAACTCAGTCAAACTTACTGATAAGTAGATAAATTGCATTTCCTGCAAAAATGCAGCGTGAATGCTTATTGCTGAAGAACTTGCTGAAAAACAGCTGAAATTAGCTAAAAAACATGCTGAAATGTGGCAGAAATGGAAGAACAAGCCTAAATTAGCAGAAGAAAGCAGAAAGAACACATATTTGCTGAATAAGCAGAAATGAGCACAAAAATGAGTAAAATAGCTAAAAAAGATTAAATGAGCAAAAAGTAGCTAAAAAGGCAGAAAGATGCTTAAATTACCAGAAGGAAGTCAAGAGAGCACAGTTAGGCTGAAAGGTGCAGAAACAAGTACATAGAAGTGGAACTTCTTTGAAAAAAGCAGAAAGTAGCAAAATACGGCTGAAAAGTAGCTAAAAAAGCAGAAAGAAGCTTAAATTACCAGAATGAAGTGGAGAGAGCACATATTTGCTGAATTAGTCTGAAAAAAGTTTAAATGAATGCAAAAAAAATGTGGAATTAACTGAAAATAGTCAAATTATCATAAAACAGTGAAATTGTAGCTAAAATAGCTAAAATAAATGAAACTGACAGAAATAAGCTGAAAGGAGCACAAGATGAAATTAGCAGAAATAAGATAGAAGAAGCACAAAAATATTGTAGTTAGCAAAATAAAGCAGAAAGGAGCACAAAACAGCTGAAAGAACAGCTGAAAGTAGCTGAACATTTTTTAAATTTGCACATGGAAGCTGAAAGAAGCTGAAGCAGAACAGAATGTGAAAGGAGCAGTAAAAGGTTGTAAACAGATCTAAAGATTTGAAGGATGTAAAATGAGCTCCATTCATTTCCTAAGAGGAAAAAAAATAGCAGAAAAGGCTAAATATTTCAAAAAGCTAAAGTTGCACCAATGCCAAAAGTCAAAGCACCCTTCGCCTAAATGAGGTGAACGTTTTGATAGAAGATTCGTTGAAATAGCACAAAAACTGTGGAACGAGAAAGACGCTGAAAAACATATGGAAGAAAAATGTATGACAGTAGTGCGAATGCTTCATAAACATTCACACAATAAGCTAAACTGATGTGGTAGTAGCTGAGAGTCGTCCTCAACACACTTTGACAGTAACCAAGCAGCAGTGGTATCATGAGAAGACTGACAAGGAGATAGTAGTTAGATGTTTGTGATTCAAAATGCTAAAATAACCCTTTTGTTTACATTTACTCCTTTCCAAAGTTTATCCTCTTTCTGTCCCCCAACAGAAGCCAGGCTGCTGATGACTTTCATCCCCCGAGCGCAGACCTTCCCCAGCTTTCTGTCTGATGAGGCCGAGCAGCAGGAGAGCTGCCCCCAGGAAGAGGCACCATCGCCCTCTGGTGGCTGTGAATCAAGTTGCAGCCTCAGACCGCTTCAATGACAGTGAGCAGTTCCAGCAACTGTGGACACTTTACCCCTCCCTGTAGATTCAGACACCTGTACACTGACATGTAATATATTGTTTCTTGGTGATACTTATAAACAACAACTCCAGAATGAGTAGAGGCGGATTTCATCCTTTTTATGCGCAACTGCAGATGTAACGATAGCACCAATAATACGTTGAAGGGTGATTTAAAGTGTTTTATGTCTGTTCCTCTAAACGAAAGGCACTTGACAACACATTAAAAGCACTGACTTAACAGGCCCAATTTTTAGGAGAGGTTTGGTTCCAAAGTTGATCAAATTACATCTGGCTCGGTCCAACAATGTGCTTCCTCAGCGGTAAGTTGGGAGAGAAACTCCACCAGTTTTGACACATAGTCCTCCCACACTTAACAGCACCCTGCATTCTTTCAAGAATGTGAAATCGATCAATGCCTTCCACCAGAACGATCCGACGTCCATGGCAGTGATGAATCAGCGAAACACCCTAATCGGTTACGACCGGAAAAAAAGAAAAAAGAAGCAAAAGTCATTCAGAAATGTGCTCCAAGGATAGAGGGACGTATTGTCACATCAGAGATGATAAACCCTCTCACAGCCTCGGCTTTAAACTGCTGGCATTAACTTTCACTCCACTAAATTGACTTGAACAGCTCCCCAGCTCTTCAGAAGCTGCATCTATGAGGAGTATCAGGTAAGATGTTCGTTAACATTATATATTAGATGAAAGATACTTGTGATTTTGTTGTTCTACTAAGAGTTAAACAAGATTCCAGTGGTGTCCTTTAATCTTGTTAAAATATGGAAGTAGGCTGCAGTTCTGAAAAGTGAAGCAAAGGTTAAGTGCCTTAAATCTGACCTCGGTTTTGTTCATGTCAAAACAAGACGGAAGGTGTTTGGATCCATCAGAACACTTTTCATTTGCAGTATCATCTTGAGTGAGTTTATTCAGCGGTAAACCGTAGCATTATGACCACAGTGGACAGTAAATAACATTTCAGAATGCAACATTCTGCACGAGCTGCAAAATAAAACTGAATTCTGAGGCGAGTGGCCTCCGAATGTTCCCAGACACTCGTGATGCGACGCGATTCTTTCTACTCAACAATTCACAAGCTCAAAAGGATTTACAGTAGTACATCGACTTTTGCGGACTCGCTCTTTTGAGGTTTTTCAACGATTGTCAACTTTAATTTTACTCACGTGATTGGGACGGTATGGGATAAAATGTTAACATAGAAAAAAAAACTTTGAATAGGCGCCGCCATTTTGTAGTTTTCTTTCAATAAGCCTATACTGCAAGGCCGGTCAAACGAACTACACTACCCAGAAGGCTACAGTGCTTCCGGCTGCTGCTTTCTGCCGAAATGGAGGGATAGCTTTGCCACGCAAATCTACGCTCTCCATTAAGCTGACAGAACTGATAGGAAAGTCACAAATAATCCTGAAGCTTAATTATCCACGTGCACATCGACCTGGACGGGGCGGTGGGCTCATCACTGCACGGGAGGTCTGCAGAACTGGAACCGAGCTGCTGGTCTGCAACGCTTGAGTAAAAGTTTGCAGTACTGTACAGTACATATACATGCTGTTAAAACTGTGTAAGTTTAAGAGTTTATAACATTGCAAGAGTGTGGGAAGGGTTTATAAAGCCTTAAATATAGATATAAATACTAAAATAAATAAAGCGTTCCTACTCAGCAGTTTGTCACCGATCACGGTGCTGTGTGGAACCCAACTCCCGCGAGAATCGAGGGACTGCTGTAAAGCCAGTGAGCTAATGTCAAACACTTCTGGGGTTTCCTGTCATTGCTCTGACTGGTTCGATTTGTTGTATTGGAGGAAAAAGTTGATAAGCAGTCATAATGTTATGATAGATCTGTGCACTCATTAAATTAAGCAGAATGTGTCTCAGCGTAGCCTTTAAAATAGCAAGTTGCTCATTTATTTATTTATTAATAGCAGAACCGTCAGCCACTAAGAAAAGATAAAATCTAAAAGTAACCACTTTGGGTTTTTTTTTAAAGTAAAGTTCTCGTATCGATTGAACAAGGAACATCCAACTTGTTGATAATTCATCTTTAACTGTGCCCAAACTGTTAGTTATAAAGAGAGACTAGCTGTTTGTCGTGTTTTGCTGTCAAGCTGTTTCTTTAACTTTTAAATTAGTCAAAAACAAGCAAACAAACAAAAAAGGTATTTCCCAAAATGTAAAAAAAAAAAAAAACGTATTTATAAAGCGTAACAAATTCCTGTTTTCTGTTAGCGGCTGTAAGCGCCAGCGAGAAATTAGCACCGTAGCGAAAATCATGACAGAAAATCTTTGAAACGTGTTCAGTGTCATTTCTTGAAGTTGTTGCATGACTGAAATATTTACACGACCCTTGAGATGATAACTGACCCAATACAAAGTGCCTTTGGACGCTGACTGCAGTGACACCCGACCAAAGCAGATTTTGGGCTCAGAGTTGACTCTCTGCCTTCCAAACGGCTACGGAAAGTCTTTGTCATGAAATGTTGAAGACCGAGTGCAAATGAAGTACAACACCTGCAGGTTTTTGTCGTCAGATGCTTGTTCTTTCAGTAAATCAAATGATTTCCATGGACAATCAAATGTAGGCAGCAGAACATCCATTTGGTCTTTTGTTTCTTCTACTCCATGTTGTCTTGTCATTGATAGGCCTGTCGCAATAAACGATAAATCAATTAATCACACGATAAATGAAAATTATCAACCTCATTTTCATTTATTGGCTTTATCGTTTCTTCATTTCTCTTTTTCTACCGAAGACACTGGATGACAAAAAGCTCAGCTCCAGTGCTCTTCACTGAGCCCTCCCTTTCTCTTTGTTCTTTAAAATTTGTTTTAATCTTCCAAAATCACATTTTTGGATAGTTAAAAGCAGCTAAGCTGAGACGCTAAGCTACGAGCTAAGCTAACAGGTCAACCTCGGGGGGAAAAAGCCTCCATCTTGTCGAAGCTCTACAATTTACGGTTGAAACCCGTGCCTTTGTGTAAAAAGCTGTTTTTCTCTGCAAAAAGAAGATGTGAACTTGTTTACTGATTTTTTTTTAATTAAAACCTTTGTGTGACAAATGCTATGCTAAAGAGCTCAAACCACACTGAGCGGCCGCCATTTTGAGAACCGAAAAAAATGGGAGGAGAGACAGCCCATGCCATGTCAAGGGGCCTCCCTCTAATTTTTCTTAAAGAGACACGCTGCTCGCTCTCTCACTATCCATCCTTCGGTTCAACAGTCAGTCTTATACTGCCATCCAGTGGCCAAAGAAGGTACTACACTCAAAACAAATTAACCAACATTTCTTCTTAAACTTGACAATAATTACAAATTATTGTTACATTTCAAACAATATTATCGTTTATCTCAATTTTTGAGACAATTAATCGCCCAGAAAAATTTGTTATCGCGACAGGCCTAGTCATTGATTTATGTTTAGAGCTACTCGAGGTTCCCAAGAAGCTAGAAAAGTACAAGCACATGTCTTTACATCCATTGGTGGATATCTTATGTTGTATTCATGTGAAACACTAAACATATTGAGTCTCAAACTGACTATCATTAGAAAGTTAGTCTGCATTCCAGAGCCTCAAATATCTGTGACAAGTATTTTACTTTAGGAAGACTGTTCTTGATATATTTGGCCACATCTCTACCCCAGTTTTCTTAAGTTTTAGCTCAACTGTGGTTAACTCTATGTAAATTAGTCTCCCTACATTAGTAGGTACAGAAATGACTAGAGAACGTTCTAGCTGATTATGCTCGAATGCCATTATTCTACTTGTTTGTAGATGTTATTTTTGTTGTTACGATTGTTTTTGTCCAAAATGTTTTTTTTTGTTGTTGTTGTTGTTCTGTAAGTTTATACGTTAATAGCACTTTGAATACGAGAGTAGGACTGCAGTTTTGAGTAAATGTACATATGTAATGTTTTGATGATCAAGGGTAATAAATTGAATGTTCTCTCATGTATAGTCTTTTTTGAGAACTCTGTATTGACATTTGAACACAGCACGGGTAAAATTTGTGTTCTTTAGAGATATTTTGAGACCGAGTTGAGCTGCTGCTCCTCCACATCAAGAGGATAATCAGTTGAGGTGGTACAAGCATTTGGTAAGGATGACTCTTGGACGCTTCCCTAGGGAGGTTTTCCAAGCATGTCCAACCGAGAGGAAACCCCGGGGAAGATCCAGAACACGCTGGAGAGACGACGTCTCCTGACTAGTTTGGGAATGCCTTTGAATCCTCCCAGAAGAAGTGGCTTAAGGAAAAGATGTCTGGTCCTCCCTGCTCAAGCTGTTACCCCTGCGACACGACTCTGGAACAAGTGGAAGATGAAGGATAGAGAATTGGATAGAAACATTATTACTCGTTTGAAGGTAATTTTCTTGTTCAAGCAGGTTTATCACTAACACATTTCACTTTTATGGGCTATTTGGTCTCTATAACCAAAGCAAGAGACGAGTTTACATCCTCCGCAGTGCAGGTTGGACTTCTCTCATTCTTTTTGTTTGTTTGTGGATCTCATCATCATCATCAGGATCTCAAGGTGCAGTCTAGGTTTGGGGACTGCAGGGTCTCTGCTTGTATCTAGGAGTCTTGTTCCCATTGAATAGTAGGCTGAAGCAAGAATCAGGCCTTGTCTGCCGTAATGCAGCAAGTATGTTATCGTGAAGGAGGTGAGATGAAAGAAAAAGTTCTCAATTTACTGGTCTGCCAATGTTCCAGCTCTCATCTGTGGTCATGAGATTTGGATCATGTCAAAGAACAAAATCCTGGATACAAGCGGCTGAAATGGGCTTCTTTTGTAAGACAGCCAGGCTCAGCATTGGAGAATTAAGGAGCTTGGAGTACAGCCGCAGCTCCTTCGCATCGAAAAGAAGTCAGCTGAGGTGGCTTAGACACCTGGACACCTCACTCTGGAGTGCTTTTTGGGCACATCCCACTAGAAGGAAGAATCGTGAGCAACCACAACTTGCTGGAGAGACTGTGTATCCTGTCTAACCTGGGTACGCTTTGGGATCGTCTATGGGAGTTCAAGCATGTCACTGGAGAAACCAATGTTGGGATTTGCTCTTGGACTTGTTGCCTCTGTTACCCAACAGCAGGAAATGGATGGATAGACTATTTCACAACGGTTGAGTAAGTATAACAACCCAATGGGAGAAAAAAATCTTGCAGTAAAGTTAATCAGGGACACCAATGAGTGACAAGTACCTGAAACTTAGGAAGCACTAATACCTTTAGGAACCAAAAGTTCTCAGAAAACTTAAAAAATACAAGATTCCTCATAAAAAAGCATTACAGTACCATTTAAAGCTCTTTTTTTTAATATGTGCTTACTCAAAAATCCCCAAGATTAATTTGATAAAACCTGTTTGAGATCATTTTGTTGAACAATCAGATCCATTAATTTAAAAGTATAAAATGGGACTGTCATCTTGGGGGGGATGTCTTTCTAAGGCCCTTTCTGGGTTTTTATGACAATAGAATGATAGTAATTGGATAATACATTAATTGGACCATGAAGTGCAAATAAAATAATTTGTAGGGAGATTTCTTTGGATAATAGATTTTATATCTATAGAAGGGTGTGGTTTGGATCGGACGCAGCATGGCAAAACACACGATTTTAAAATCTATTCTTTGAAGTAGAAAACTCACAAAGTCAGCAACAAGCAAACCTACGAGTAAAGAAGAGCCGCTGCTGAAGTGCCAGTCAACAGCATTAGAAGTCTTCAAATATTGCAAATAGAATAAAAGTCTCAAAAGAGTCAACTTCTGGGTCTGAAGCAATAAAATAAAAAAAAGTTGATTTGTGAAGTTCGCGTTTTTTAGAGTATAAAGTAAAACTAGGGCTTTTGAAATCACTTTAGCCTCAAGGCATGGTAGTTTCTTCAAGGAACACCTTTAGAGGGAAAAGACAAATGGAAAGCTTTGATTTAAGAAGATAAGTGGTTATTTGATTTCAGCCCTCTTCACCCACATCACAACAAACTCGTGGAAGTTTAGGCTACAACAGTTTTATTCTTGTTTTCAGTCACAAATATGAGTTTCGGTGCTGTTCACACAGAAACAATCAGTATCACAGTCTTACAGTTACAGCTTCCACCGTTTCACAAGGGGACAGTTAAGACAACAACTGATTCCAGGCTTTAAAGTCCCTTCCACATTTCAACACCGTCCACATTTTTCTCGTTTCCTAGCGGAACAGCCCGCTTATCCATTACCGCGTCAGCCACTGCCTCCATTTCTACAGAGACAAACGAACGAAATTTCACACCGTTTATTCGTACGACAGTGCCATAAGCCTTAAATATTGATTCACAAAAGCGCGGCAAAAATAAATAAATAAATAGGAAATGAGAAAACGCTCGACAGTTCATCTAGGAAACGACTTCCTTTGACATATTGTCTAAAGACAAAGAAAAGAACACAGGTTCGTCAAACAGGAGCCATAAACTGCAGCTCAGGATTTGCTAATTTGAGTTTAGCTTTCATACGAGGAGCGTGCCGGAACTAGAAAGCAGCTCTACGAGTCAGAAAGCCTGCTGGGGGAAAACAGCCGTCTCAAGTGATGGTACATTGCTAAGTGACTGCTTTTCTTTTTCCGTTAGATGATTAGACACTATTGTCAAGCTCTGAATAGAAAACCAGGAGGGATGAAAGTGAAAAGAGGGCAATTACACAGGCTTTTGTCAATCGTTTTACTCGGAGGGTTAGAGGAGTGAAAAGAATGATTATACGGGCTTTTTGTCTCTTCCTTCTTCTGTGTGATCGTTACTGTCAAATATTGTTCTGACAAACACAAACATTCGCTCAAAAATAATTACACACTACATTTAATTAGAGGTGGGGGAGGGGAGGCGGCTTTCAAACAACCTTGTCAGCTTCCTGACTCCGAGAGGAGCGCCAGCTTGTTAACGCGTTTCCAACCGGCGTGTGAATATTAAACAGCGTCAGCGCGATCCCTGCATCTGATTATTTAAAAAAAAAAAAAAAGAAGGAAAAACTCAAATGGATAATTATAATGTGCCAATATTTGTTTATCCTTTGCTCAGGAGCACGCTGACGAAGAGGCACGTTATCCCAGGAGAGTTACAGCACGCACGTTCTTATATTGTGAGGCCGCCGAGCGGTTTGGAGCGAACGTCCAGCCGGCAGGTTGGCATAGATCGGGCAGTTTTTGGACTGCCTGGAGTTCTTCGCAAACTGGGGATACACAGGGACATTCTCATACAGGTTGGGCTGTGAGGACGTAGTAAAATGTTATTAGTTTGCAAGGATTAAAGCAAAAACACAGAGCAGTTAATAATGTATTCACCAACAATGCAGCTACTTCACAAAAGCAATGGAGTTTTGAACATGTTTGTTTATTTTTAATAATCATTTGTAGTCCCGACAAGGAGGAGGATCAATTATATTACTCTAAAAACAAACAACTGCAAATACATGAAGCTGCACTTAGAGAAATACAGTTTTAAAGTTTGGTATTTACCGTATTTTCCAGCGTATAAGTCACATTAGTCCAAAAAATGCATCATGAAGAGGAAAAAAAAAAAAAAAAAATATATATATATATATATATATATATATATGTCAATTTGACGTATTAATCACATTTATTATGTGTCACCGCTGACCCCTGGGAAACGTGGGCCGGTGTTGTGCCAAAAATCGATCCACCCATTGTGGCTCTAGCTGCAAGCTCTACAGTGTTCCTCCCCCACCGGAGCAGGGACGAAGGTGTCTCATGGCCCTACAGTGTCCCCCCCACCTGCACCTCACAGCTTCCCGGGGCCGCAGATCACAAACACGTGCCTCGCTGCCCCCATCCTCCCTGTTCTGGCAGCAGAGGAACGCTGCAGACCTCGCAGCCAGAGCCACGATCGATCGATCGATCAATTAGCATGGATGGATAGATGGATGGATGGATTGATTGATGGGTGGATAGATGGATGGATTGATGGATGGATGGATTGATGGGTGGATAGATGGATGGATGGACGGATGGATGGATGGCGCACCACCACAGAAAAAATGCACCTGGCGAGAGTGTTTCCCACGAGGGGGGATCCTCCGCCGCCGTGCGGCTGTCTCTTCCGCCAGGTTGACTCCCCTGAGCAGACTGCACGGACCCCACCCGTTTACAAACTTTCGTTTTGGGCTGCATGTTTATTACGTGCATTTTGTAATCTGCAAATTAGCATTTTCTGTTTGGTGGCATTTTACTTGTGTTAAGTTTTTCTCAGTTGTCTCTAAGTGAATGTTTGTTTGGGTGTGGGTGTGGGTGTAGCGTGTGTGTAGCAGTAGTTGTCAAAAGCCTAAAGGGCCCTCTCACGCCTCTAGCGGCTGCAAATGGTAACGTTTAATCTGGTTCGTATCAGAATGAATGAACATTTCAAGCTTAAATCAAAAATTGCGTTATGAATATGGAAAAAAAATGCAGTATATACAAGTCGCTTCGGTGTATAAGTCGCAGGACTGAAAAATCTGCGACTTATACGCCGGAAAATACGGTAATATTTTACCAATGTGTTCCTCTACATAATGTAAACAGCTGGTGATGGTGAAGCTTCATTAGTTGAGTCACAAGCAGAATTTCCTCTGCGTCAGGTTAAGAGCTGATGGGGTGAAGCAGTTTAAATATTAATTGTAAAGTGTAACAGGTTTGTAGCTCAGTGTGTGACGTATCAGAAGGTAAGGGAGCGCCTTAAAAGTGTCGAGAGTAAAAACAAGAGTTGATAAAATGAACAAACCAACATCTACCTGTCTCTGAGACGAGTGCAGTTTGACTCGATACTCCTTTCTCTTAGTTTTCTTCCTGTGAATATCAATAAAAAGCACTGCGTTTGTTACTAATGGATATAAAAGTGTTATATAGGAATAATAATACAAATAAACTCCAGTGGTAATATAATGGTACAATTTTCTGAATATAGTTTGCTGCACAGCAGACTTTCAAAATAAATGTCACACAGAAGTAATTTCCAGACGATGGCATTTAAAGAGACCTATAAATTTGTTAAATAAAATTATTAATTTGACAAACATCCTGCTAAAACGTCTGAATGTTTTATGAGCATATTAGCAAATAGCTCAAATATCAACCTTCTATGGATTTAATCTGGTTAGTACTTAAAAGAAATGTTTAAAGTTTTCCGAGCAGAGTTTCTGTCAGCTACACTTAAAAAAATAGCAAGTGTCTTACCTGCAGCAGATAGATAAATATAAGATTGGCAAACTGGCAGCACACTCATGAGGAAGCTAAAATTAGGAGCAATTTTTTAGCCTTCTAAACATTACAAACCTTTAAAATGTCATAGCTGTTTGAGTGAATGTTCTAGAGTAAACTTACACACCTGACAATTACTTTCCTGCAGCAATATTGCACATTGGTGGTATTCATTACTACTGTACTGAAGTTTATGTACTTTATTAAAAGTATTTACATTGGACTAAATCTAACAGTAAAACTAGTCTAAGTAAATAAAGAAAATAACTAAAATAAAGCTGCAGTGCTCCAGTGAGAAGGTTTTGAGAGATTCCAGACAACGGTGACAACTCCACAACATTTTTAAAGGAAAAATAGTATTTTAATGATTTTTGGAATGTGTTCAAAATTGAAGAAATACAAAAGAAAGTCCATACAACCCTCAAGAGCAAATTGAGAACCCCCGTGACTGTTTTGAGACATTTTGGAAAGTCCCTCTCAAATGCTTTTTGCAGTTTGTTGCGAACAGTTGCAGCCAAGCGAGATTCCGTTTTTTTTTTGTTTTTTTTAGCATTTTCTTTAACTGCAACAAAATGTTTGAGGAATTGTTTTAGACGGTGGAAATCCTTTTAGAAGTGAACTCCAGTCTGATTAGCTGCCAGCTTGATTCCTCTTTGACATCTTCTCCACGATTCTCCAGACTTGAACTGCTCCGACTGCCATCTACTGCAGGTAAGATACTGACTACTGATAGATTTTTCACAAAAACCTCATTTTAAAAATACAAACCATCTCCTTATGATATCACAGCTCATTTGATGTCAAACATAGAACACACATCTCTCTTTAATCAATATATATTTGCCGAAAAGAGCCTGTAGGGTTGTACCTGTGCCTCATGGCGAGAATGAGGATGGCGGTGAGCAGAAGGAGTCCAGCAGCTCCAGCCCCGATGTAAATGTACATCATGTATAACGACAGGCTGAATCCACCTGCTTATATAATAAAAATATAAATTACTAAATAAAATAAAAAACAACCTGAAAGGCAGACTGTGAAAAGAACGCTGCTTGTGTTTGTGAGGAAACTGGATTTGTGACATAAATCCCACTCGGGCCTGAGGCAAACACGTTGCATTAAAACGTAAAAGTTTGCAGATACAAACAAAAAGCTTGGCGCTGAAAAAAAAAAATTTGACACATGAATTTGTGGTTTTAGCAACTCAGTTTCTCTTTTGTAGTGGTTGAGTCTGACGTCACATGCATCTTCTAGCCATTTAATTAATTGCATTATATATTATCAGTTGTTGCAATGTCTCCGTAAATAATTTTCAGCATGAAAACTGATTTGTCATGCAGTGATAAAGCCTGGTTGTTTTTATTTTACCTGCAATGGGAACAGTCAGCTGAACGGTGGTAGTCTGCACACCCACGTCCGTGTTAAAAGTACAGCGATAGAAGCCGTTGTCTTGCGGTGCAACATCAGTCATGTGCAAACTGACATCCAGGCTGTCTGCACAGTCGACTCTGCCTCTGTCGCTGTAGTCCTCGCCCACCAGGCCCCCCTCCACCGTCTTGCACACGCCGATAATGGTCCAGGGATGGCCAAGCAGCATCCTCTCAAATATGACCTGGTAGACTGTACCGTTGTGCTGATGGTTGCACCTGATGGTCATGTTGTCGCTCTGCTCTGCTACCAGCTCTGCGTCTGCTACGGTCACCTCTGTGGGAACGGGTTCCGTGATGTTCCCTTCCTCTGGTGGTTCATCTGCAAAAATGTTTATTTCGCACGTTAGTGGGGTTTGGTTTCATTTGTGTTTGGGGAGTTGTTCAACCAAAGCAGATTCATCCTAAATAGTTTATAGGTTCTGTTTCACCGCTTGTTGTTTACCTAAATCCTCCACCTGAATGTTCCTAGTCCAGGGTCCCTGAGGGAAGGTCTGGATGGAGCAGTGGTACTCCCCAATGTCCCGATGAGTAACGTTCCTCATGGAAATGCTTCCATCCATTGGCGAGTTCCTCAGGAACTCGAGTCTCTCTCGGTACAGGTGAGAGAAAGCCTCTCCGAAGTCTGGATGGAAAACAGCCATGGGATTATCGTTTGGCACTTTGGTCCAGGACACCATGGTCAGTTTACCGTCCCAGGGGCACAAACAGCTCAGCACCATCCCCTCCTCCAACCGAACCACGTCGACTTCTTCCTGTTGGACGGCAACTGGACAGTGTGGGGGTTATAGGTGTATGACATATCACAGTTATTCAATTATATTTAAAACATTAAACAATTTTGCAGATTAATGCAACTGTCGTCCTGTATCCTTCTAGACCCGTGGTTCCCCAACACTAGTCCTTGAGGAACACCATCCTACATGTTTTAGTTGTTTCTCTGCTCCCACACACCTGATTCAGTCATTTAAATACTTCCTCAAGTTCTGCAGAAGCCTGTTAATCACTCGTTCATTCAAATCAAGCGTGTTGGAGCAGAGAAGCAACTAAACCATGCAGGATGGTGTTCCTCAGGGATCAGGGTTGGGAACCACCGTGAATCTAGACCGGTGGTTCCCAAACACTTTGGACCTCCAAAGTAACAAGGGCTAAAACTTGTAACCATAAATATTGGTCGAATGACACGAATACTGGTTACAAAAAAAAAAAGTAATTGCATAAGAGCACGATGGAGCACAATACTAAAAAGCTAAATTAAATGTTTTTTTTAATCCTTACATTAACTACATTTTTTGCTTTAGGACTACTAGTTTTATCTTTTGAAACAATTTTATTAAAAATATGCTAGCACATATGCGTAAAATATGTGACCCTGACTGGGTTCTTTGGGATTTGGTGTTTTAAATCAGTGGTTCCCAATCCTGATCCTTGAGGAACACCGTCCTGCATGTTTTACTTGTTTTCCTGATTTGACTTGCCTGACTTAGATAGATATATGTATACTTTATTGTCCCCGAGGGGAAATTTGTCTTGGACATCTTGAACATCTTTGACATACTTGAATGAATGGGTGATTAACCGGCTTCTGCAGAACTTGAGGAAGTTATTAAATCACTGAATCAAGCGTGTTGGAGCAGGAAACAACTGAAACATGCAGGATGGTGTTCCTCAGGGACCAGGGTTGGGAACCACTGTAATCTAAACAACAGATAAATTGCACATGGTTTAGGGTACAAAAAAAAAAAAAAACATCTCAAACTAAAAATACACAAAAGCATCAAAAACATTAAATAAAACTAGACATTTAGCACAGTATTACCTCGTTCATTACAAAATCTTGTTTATATGATTTATAGAAAATAGTGCAGTACTTTGCAAAAACCTTGAGTGGTCCATGATTTCTTTACATTTTACTTCCAAGCAGCTGGATTTTTTTTGGGGGGGTGGGGGTGGGGGTTGTTGGAAGTGGTCTAAATAAATTGCTATTTGTCTTTCTGTTTTTTTTTTTTGTTTCTTAGACATTTAACTTTGACTTTTAAATCATTAAAGTATTAAAAAGCTCCTAAACTCAAAAGAACTAACTTTAAATTGGATCTTCAGGCACTTTGTTACCAGCAGCTCCTAACAAACACTAATTTGTTCCAATTTTCTTGGCTGAATCAATACAAGGTGGTTCCCTGAAACGATTAGCTGAAACTTAGCATTCAGTTCAAACATGATGCATTTCTTAAGTCCTGTGTCAAGTTTGACGATTCTTTTTTCATGTTTCTTAAAAACTTAACTTCCACACATTATCTACTGCAGAATGTTTTTTTCTTTAGACCTGGCACTTTGTCTTCCACATGTCGAAATTCCTCAAAAAAACAACTGAACAATATGTTGCAATGGTCTAGTTGAAAAATTGGACAGAAACTGAGCAGAAAGCAACAACTAAACCTGGTTCCTTGGAAGCAAAATATAAAAATTAGATGCAATTTGAACCTTTATTTTTTCCATTTTATTTTTAAGTACTGTAAATTTAAAGTTGGCAAGACGGTTCAAAATCATACACTTTACTTACTGAGCAAATACTCCCAACACAGTAAGGGCTGAAAATAAACATTTCTTAACTCCATCTGGAGGAGTAAAACCACCAGCAGGTCATCACATGGTTAATGATAACTACACCATCTTCTGCCAGTACACATAAACACGAATAACTATTATAATGGAAACCTTTTTAAATGTTTCTCTATAAATAAACTCAAACATAGAACTTAGTCATTTAATAAACTAATGCAAAATGTAAATACATTGTGCTTTATAATTTTCAAAGCTGTAAACAATAGATATACCATATTATTACTATTAATAAGCACCTAAAATGAATTTAGGTACATAGAAAATAGATGTTTCTCCATACCTTTAAGAAAATGAAGAAAGATGAGTACCATGAAGTACCAGGAGTCCTTTTGTACAGCTTCCATTTTGCCTCGCAGAGGGAGAATGAAAGCTGCATTGATGAGACGAGTGGAGAGGCGCCTGAGCTGCACTTCCTGTTCGCTCTCTGGCTACTGAGAAACTCTTCAGCTTCTGGGGTGCACTTCATGATAACCCGCTCCACACAGAGGGGGCACTTTGTCACAGAGGTCATGGAAACTTGGGTCAAAACACGTCAGGCTAAATTTAATAATATCACAAGAACTGGACTTGGATGGAACATTTTTAGTTAAAGATTTGGGGCTTGTGTTGTGGCTCAACACCACAACACAAGCTTAAAGCCACATAGATGACAAAATGAAAACACGGAAAAGTTGATGCTACTTTAAAAACCAAATCACATTTATTATAAAACTTGATACAAATAAATACAAATACATTTATTAAAGTCAGTTTTTTAGCAGCTGGGAGAGGCGGTCGAGGCACTTGAGCAGGTAAACACTCAGAGGCTCCTGTGTCTTCTCTGCATCTACAAATACAAACAAACTTTAATTATGCAACTGGACAAAGGGTTTTGTGTACATTTAAAGCAGGAACGCGCTCAGAATAAATAAATACATGCCTTTTCTGAAGACGGAATGTGCGTCTTCAATTTTCAACCGAACAGAAGGACACTTCAGGGACGTTTTTGCCTTTGAGAAGGATAAGTGACATCCAGATTGGGAAAATTTAGACATTTTCTTATTAAAAATTACAAGTTTATTTTAAAGGGCATAATATTTAGTGTACATAAGAATTATGAAGTTTTAAGACAGATTTATGTGCTTGACTAAAAGCATAAAACAGGACAAAATTAATAAATCAATGAAAATTAGGATTCCGTTTGTCTTATTCCATCAAAAATGAGTTACTTAATGAAAAACAAAAAACGATATAGAAACTATAAGCACTAGAAGAACCCCTCCGCCATCGACAACTGTTGGTATTGATGTAGCGTGGGACGAAATACAAATGTGCTAGCAAAAATGCTACTCATGTACTGCTCCCCACCCCCTTCCCAGTTGACAATTATCGGCAGCAACGTAGCGCTAAGCTAGTGGACGGGCAACACAGATATGACCCCCCCCCCCCCCAAAAAAAAAAAAAAAACGTCAGCAACATAGCGCTAAGCTAAAAGGCAGGCAACACAGACATGACACACCCCCCAGCCTGATAAAAAACAGCATCAATGTAGCGCTAAGCTAGCTAGTGGGCAACACAGATGTGATACCCCCCCACCCTTATGAAAAACAACAGCAACGTAGCACTATGCTAGCAGACGGGCAACACAGACGTGACACCCTCCCACCCCCCTGATAAAAAATGGCAGCAACGTAGCACTAAGCTAGCAGGCGGACAACAGAGATGGGATTCCCCCCACCCCCCAGACAAAATAATAAAATATGACGAGCACCCCACCAAGAGAACTGATCTAGGGTAAACACTGTCCTGGATCCAGAACAAAATGTAATCACTTGTTGTTTGTGAGAACTTCAATATTGCCTAAAAAATTTCCTGAAAATCCATTCAGAACTTTCTGAGTAACCCTGTGCACAGACAGACAAACTACCGAAGTCATAACCTGCTTGGCAGAGGTAAAAAACACATTTCAGTCCAAAGTGTGTGTGTGTGTGTGTGTGTACCCTTTGATTGTTGTAGAGTAATGCCCACAGTGCAGACGCTCCCATACAGCAGGTTTCCATTTCTCTACTTTCCAGACATGTCAGCAGAACTTTCATGGCTTTGTCTGGAAAACAAAACAAGAAACAATCAATAAAGTCCATAAGTTTATAATAAATCAACTTTATTACTAACTGTCCAAAACCAGTTTTTTTATTTAAGTGTATAAAACAGTAGCTAGTAAAAGAGCACCAGAGGTCACATTGCTTTATTAAAAAAAAAAGGTTCTTTGTCAGAAAATATAGAGAAACAGGCTAAAAACTAACATCAAAACTGCTCCAATCACAACTACGTTAAAACGATATTTGTTCAGTCTAAATGATACCAGTGAGGGAAATAAGCTTCCCAATGTGTCCTGATTGGGAGCAAAACAAATCAAACTGCCAATTTTGTAATTGGTTGAAAATTACTCCAAACCTCACATACAGGAAATGTCATTTCACACAGGAAGCAACAAAAAAATAGAAAAATTACCATCCCATGACAGTTTCCACGCACCTGCAGCCATCTGCAGCTCACGCTGTGAAGGTGTGTGTGTGTGTGGGGTGGGTGGGTGTGTGGGGTGGTGGTGGTACAGAGACCGTGTTTCGGTCTCAGCTGCTTCCTCTGCTTTCATCATCTAGCATGTTGTAGATTATTTATCTTCTCACTGTTGCAGCGTTGATCATAAACTGCCTGAATTAAACCTCAACTGTAAACCTGACACTAAGCTGCACATCTAATTGCTTTTATGTACGTTTCTGTTGTTATTTGTCCAAGAAATGTAAATTAATATTGATTTCTTCTGCTCTGAAACGGAATGCTCCAGCATCAGTAATTGGAGTTATGAACTGTAAAAGTCATATTTTACTAACTTCGCTCCCTGTTTGGTTCTGGTGTAACGATCTCGAGTCGGTGGCTGACAGCTTAATGTAGCGACGGCTCATAGGACCATACGGAAAAAATAATAAATCACAGGGTTGTTGAGATCCTGAGTGAAACTTCATGTTTATGAACACAAAAATAAAATAAAACAATAAAAGCAATGAAATCTAGAGTTTAGTACAGCTGGCAAACTCCACATATTAAACCAATTATTATTGTGTGAATACTTGTTCACATTATTGTGATCCTGTTTATATTTATTATAGTTACTATCCCTATTCCGTATGTTTTTTGGCATCTTTCTTGTTCCATAATTTTTGTTCTATTTCAACTAATTATTTATCAAAACATTCAGCTTCGTTGTGCAAATAAATAAAAAAAACCTGCTATTTTCAGCTGTTTTGTGCTCCTTTTAGCTTTATTCTGCTAACTACAACAGTTTTGTGCTTCTTCCAACTTGTGCTAATTTCAGCTTGTTATGCTCCTTTCAGCATATTTCTAGAAGTTTCAGCTTTTTCTGCTATTTCAGCTACTTTTTAACTGTTTTGATGCTAATTTTAGCTTTTTTCAGCTAATTCCACATTTATAATAAGTGCTGTGTCTCTGCATTTAACCCATCGCACCTGGGTGCCCACTGCTCCACCTGGGATACGCCCAGGTGGAGCAGTGGGCAGCTATGTAAGCACATGGGGAGCAATTAGGGATTGGGTATCTTGCTCAGAGACATCACAACACGTGGGAATGGCTGGGGATTGAACCTGGGACCTTCAGGTCCCGATTCGGCTCCCCTGCCTCTACCCAATCTCGGCCCTTGCACTTAATTAAATTTTTCTGACTTATTCAGCAAAAATGTGCTCACTCCACTTCCTTCTGGTAATTTTAGCTTCTTTCTGCTTTTTTAGCTTTTATTCAGCTGTTGTTGTTTTTTTTTTTTCCCAGATTTCTGCTTTTTTCAGATAATTTCCACTTTTTGTGCTAATTTCTGTTTCTTTCAGCCTAATTGGGCACAATTGTGCTCTCTCTACTTCATTTTGGTAGTTTAAGCTTCTTTCTGTATTTTCAGCTATTTTCTGCTAATTTCAGCCTTTTTTTTTAGATAATCTCCTAAATTTTGTGCTAAATTCTGCTTATTGAAACATAATTCAGCAAATATGTCTTCTTTCTGCTTTCTTCTGCTAACTTAGGCTTGTTCTTCCATTTCAGCTACATTTCAGCATGTTTTAGCTCATTTCAGCTGTTTTTCAGCAAGTTCTTGAGCAATAAGCATCCACACTGTATTTTCACAGGAAATGCAAGTTCTCTAGTTATTTTTGTAAGTGTGAAATTTTGCTTAATACACATAATTATTTTACTGCAAGTAGCAGTAGGTGAGGACATTGCTTTTGCTCACGTGGGCCTGTAGCGTGGAGGTAAAACAAGCAACATTACCCTTCATGACTCTCAAACAGCCTGTGTTTGTAGGCAGTTATAACATTTAACCTCAGCTTTTTTCCGTACCGTTGGCGATGACGTGTGATTTGCTGGCAGAGCAGAAGCAGAGGTTGTGCAGGGTGAGCAGCGCGTGCCGTCGATGCGGCGCCAAGTCAACCAGCAGCTCCAGGACTCCGGTCACCTTAAGGATGCTCTGCTGGCCATCGTCAGCCGCCGACAGACTGACCAGCAGTCTGAGCCAGAGGGCCAGGAGGTTCACACCACCGACTGACGTGGCCTTCGCACCGGCTGCTTTGGGCACTGGCACTGAGAGGAACGCTTGAAGAAAATTATTCTGAAAAAATCACAAGAAAAAAGGAAACTTTTAGCATGAAATGAACAAACTGAGCAACTCTGAATGTATTTCAACTGGTCGAGACACTCAACAAAGACTATCTCATAAAGTTTAAACTTTTGGAACCAAAATAAAAAGTTCCTTTAGTCTGTCTCTTGTTTTCCTCCTGCACCTTTTGCAGGATGCACCTGCAGTCCCGTGACGCTGTCAGGTTAACCAGGAGAGAGAAGGCGAGGTTCTGGATGGGGCTGTTGTCTGAGGCGAGCGAGGTCAGCTTCATGACGGAGTGCATCAGAGAGCTATTAGAGGAGCCTTTAGAACCTGGTACCCCACTGGGGCTGCTGCTACACACAGAACTGCATGCTGGGAACAGAAAAAAAAATTCTAATGATGCCCTCACAAACTAAACCGACAAAGCAATCATTAACAGAAACAAGTGTAGATTCACAAAACACATAATATGATTCATTTTCTGTCCAACTCTCTTTCACATGAGCCTTTAAAGGGAAACTCCACCTATTTTACATAATGAAGCTGTTACAGCATCCATGTACAAATCTGCAAAGTAAATTTAATTATTAAAAGAATTAAGTTTTCTCAAACTTAATGGTTCTGCAATGACAAATTGTGTTGGATATTAAGAAAATGAGAAGAAATCAAGTTATCATTGCCACTAAAACACTAAAAGACGTGCACATT